GAGAAAAAAAATTATATTCAATAAATAGAAATAGACCTATTTGTTGTGGATGCAATGCTTTTGAACACTTTTCCTCTGGCATGCTGTGTTTTTAATGTTTTAACTGAATAGCAGATTGTCTGAGAAAATTGTATCGTGCAAATAATAATGCACAACAAGGTCCATCTGTTTCCATTAAATTATAAAACAATTAAAAATAGGGGAGAGCGGGGCACAACCTAACGCTTTTTGGTTTTGGCTCAATTAATTAAAAAATAATTAGGTTAGATTAATACTTTTTTTACACAAGCAACATACACATCTCTGCTACAAATGAACACTTAAAGTTTTTTTCTAGGACCTACCATTTTCGTACAGTTGGACTGAAAGTGACAGAACTGCAAATGTTACAACTTAGCCCATATGCGGGGTTAATTGTAACAGACAACACTTGTGTGTAACACACATAATTCAGTACTATTTTATTTGTATAGTTTGATATTGTTTGTGCATCTGTATAGACAGATATCCATACATATCCCTCATCCAATCATCCTTCTATTATGGATCAATATCATAGAGACATAGAAAAGGGCTGCATAGTTTTGCAATAAATAATAATAAATAAAATTATAATATTGTAATTTCAATTAAATTAGATTTGTGTGTGGCAGCTGCATGATGTACAATTATTATTATTATTATTATTACAGTAATGATAATACAAATGAGCTTAAAATAAAAATTTAAAGGGTTTATTGCATTAATAACAGGCCATATTTTTAATAAATAAACAAGTTATCATTCATAGTGCACTAAATTTTAAACATTTTAAATCCCAACATTGTTTGTGAAAGTCTAAAAAAGTTAAATGTACTCAAACCTGAAAAGTTGTGTGGCTCCGTTTTCATTTGATTCTCATTGTACACTTGGAGGCTTAGTTGTTACACTCTGTTAGAATTAACCCCGCTGTGTATTACATATTTTAACCCTAGCTAACAGTCGCTAGGAATAGCTGACATGTTTCAAAACGGTGCTATGTTTGAGCCAACAAGACAGTGATTAAGGCAATATAAAGTTAGATTTGGAAACGTATACACCCAACTAAGAAACCGAAAAAAACCTATGATGAAAAAAAATACTTTCATGGTGTCAAAACACTCTTTGTCCAGTATCTTCACGAAATATAATCAAAACTTTCCGCAAATTCGCGGGAGACCGTCTTCTGGCAGCAAGAGAAAAATAGCGGAAAGACGGCCGGCTTGATCCTGACGAACTGTAAACGGTCCGTGTTACATTTAACCCCGCGTTAGGTTGTGCCCCGCGCTCCCCTATTTGGCCAGTGGAAAGGATTGAGAAACACTTTCTCTAACATGTATTTTACACTATTTGATTTATTCGTTCAAAAACAAGGCAATATAGGCTACAAAAAAATATTTTTGTAATAATGTGACGGCACATCCATGATATTTCATATTGTCCTAACGTCTTGTACCGTTAAACATGGTATCACGTGGATGAATAATCATATGCAAATGATATGCTGATGAGGATATGCATAGTAAAACTAGGCGTTGTAATCTCCATATATGGTTATTTCGGGGTGGAGACGCACGTGCGCACAAATCCCCCGCTGACTGGGATTTATAAAGTGAATTCTGCGCAGGTTCTGGCGTACGAACGGTTTTATAAATCTAAAAACTTTTGTGAGTACGCAAATTCTGCCTTATGTGCGTACGCACACTAAAAAGATGAAATGCAAAGTTTTATACATGAGGCCCTTGATCTCTGTAGTTTTCTGCTATTAAATAAGGGTTCACTTGAACTGATTCTAACTGTATTTCTGTGTGTTTTAGACCAGGTGAGCGTGAAAGAGCAAAGACAAGTGGAGGAGGAACATCGTAACTTTACAATTCAAAGAACAAAAGCCAAAAAGAAGCACACCTGCACTCAGTGTGGAAAGAGTTTCTCAAAGAAAGGAGACCTTAACAGACACATGAGAATTCACACTGGAGAGAAACCGTATACATGCACTCAGTGTGGAAAGAGTTTCTCACATAAAGGACACCTTGACACACACATGAAAATTCACACTGGAGAAAAATCGTACACCTGCACTCAGTGTGGAAAGAGTTTCTCACGGAAAGGAAGCCTTGACACACATGAGGATTCACACAGGAGTGAAACCGTATACATGCACTCAGTGTGGAAAGAGTTTTACTCATGACTCAGGTCTCAGTTATCATCTGCGCATTCACTCTGGAGAAAAGACATTTAACTGTGATCAGTGTGGTAAAGATTTTAGTTCATCATCACATCTAAAAAAAAACCTGAAAGTTCATTCAGATGAGAAGCCTTATGTGTGTTCTCTCTGTGGAAAGAGTTTTTCACGTCTGGACCATTTTAAACTGCACCAGAAAACACACAATGAAGTGAGAGATTATTTGTGCTTTGACTGTGGGAATAGCTTTACTAGATCTGATCATCTGAAACAACACCAAAGAATTCATACTGGAGAAAAACCTTACAAGTGCTCATTTTGTGACAAGAGTTTCAATCGGTCTGGAAACCTGAAATCACACGAGCGAGTTCATACTGGAGAGAAGCCGTACGACTGTACTCAGTGTGAGAAGAGTTTCACTCGGTCTGCAAACCTGAAATTACACGAGTGAGTTCACACTGAAGAGAAGCCGATAGCTTCTAAAATATATGTCAGACAGACTATGAATGAATGAAGATATAGTGGAAAATTTGGGGACTTGGCGCCCCCTTGCCCGGCTCTGACATGCAATGACGTTAAGTTGTCGCACTTCAGAGGCGCCTGGCCCGCGCATTGGATGTGCAGTTGCAATGTATCTTTATTGACTTATTCTTTTTATAGAGATGATTGAAATGCTGAAATATGAGGTTTATATTTTTATAAAACCTTTTTTGTTTTAACCTTTTTTTTAAGTTTAGTAGGTAACATAAAAGACACTCCTTTAAAACAAATCTTTAATGTTATTAACTTGGTGAATTGATTTCATTGTGTATTAGGCTTTTTGAACAAGATTCTGTGTATGTGATCATTTTGGTCATTATATTCATGAAATGAAAATAATTTTCATAATGATCAACTAAAATTAACTTTAATTATGTGTTTTTACAGTTGCCTATAATATGCAAAGTACAATTTTCTATTTTCGAAATAATCTCTGATTCTGTCCGTTTCTCTGACATTTAAGAGTGACATAGAGCTATTTTAGGTCTACAACAGTTTGGATAGTTGTTAATATGAGAGCTGTTCGAAATTATTTAAGAGATAGCCTTAGTATTGCCCTATTACGCCTACCCCTATTATTGAAGGGGGTCTCGCCCTGGGTGTAATTCAAAGCAGAACAGCCACTGATATAGGCTTCAGTAAATCGAGGAAAAGGAGTTTCTGAAGACATTTGTAGGCTATGAGAAGATTTTTTTTTTTTTTTTGCATTGAAGGAATTTTCTAGAAGTCTAATTCTATTAAATGAGTTCGCACAAAGCTACAGAAAACTGTTGTGTTTATTTTTCTTCAGATGCAGTCTAAGCCGATGAGTTTTGAATGTTATACGTTTTATTTGTTGAAATTAAAAATAAAACGGATTATAAAACAAATCCATGGTTCATTGTTGGTAAAATGATCGTGATAGCCTTTATATATCTAGCCTATGTGGTACAGTCATTGATTAGGCATACTTTTCTATTCTATAAATATATAGGCTTAATAAGTTGCATTATAACATGCCATAATGAATTTCAGGGGTCATTTCTTCTGTGGTGGCATAATCAGAAAGTTGGCAACCTTACGTACGACTGCACTCAGTGTGTTAAGAAAGAGTTTCACCCAATCAAGTAGTCTAGTGACTCATATTAGAAAGCATTGTTGTTAGTTAACTAATAACTAGTGTTGTTGTGAAATGCTACATGATTTGTGTTTCATTTGTTGGAGAACAAGAACATTATTGATGTAGCACCCTGCTAAATTTATATATTGTTTCTTTTGTGTTCTAACATAAATAGTTATGTCCTGAAATATGGGCCAGTTCAATTGTCCCTGGTAACACCTTTTCTTTTTTAGTTTTTGTATTAATATGTGTTAATCAATTGTGAGGTGTTGAAATATCCTCTGTTGTGAGTAGCCCTTGAACATCCCTGGTCATTTACTTTTGTATTGGGTGGCCAGGAGTCAGTTTTGTTTATTATACAATCAGACAGCAGTTTGGTAACCTATCAGGTTTTTGAGGGGGAGAGAGATGAAAAAGAAGACAGAGAGCTAGTTGTAATTTCTGTATTATAGATTACGTTAATGGTTAGAACTGCGGATCGTACACACAAGTCTTGTACAGGACCATATAGGCATCTAAAGATTTATATGCCCTCAGTTTCTATTTACAATCGATTTCTCTATAAGGTAGGTGTAGAAGTCAGGCCACTCAACCGAGGTAACGTAACTTACGTTAATCCTGTCAGATCATCCATGCATTGAGTGAGTGTGTAGGCGGCTACAGGTCGGACAATCTGGTTCCGTCCGTTAAAAATAACTTTTGGAAATAACAATCGCGGTCCTGGACACTGAGTGACCTTACACATTAAGATAATATCGGATTTTCTCCAGTCATTGTTAAAAAACAAGCTAACAATCCTTGCTAACTAGCGTTAGTGAAGCGGCCAGGGGATCTTTCTGCCTGCCTCCACCTAAGCTCCGCCCACAAAAAAACGTCACCGTGTTTACCAACTGTAAAAGGGTCTATAGACCATTTCAAAAGATGTAAACAACACTGGTCCAGAAGCACTTCCTGTTTCAGTTTTTTAACACTACATAAAAGCTGGGATAAAATAAAACCAACAGAACATTTAAAATTGAATCAAAAAGTTAAACAAACATCTTTAAGATGTTTTCTTTACATGTGAAATAAAGAAAACAGCTACAAACTGAAACAGGAAGTGTTTCTGGACCAGTGTTGTTTACATCTTTTGAAATGGTCTATATCCGCACTTGCGCCCTTGTGCCCCTCAATGCGCGTTCTCGCCATCGTTCTAGGGTGCAAGACCGTAGTCCCAATCCTCTAATAGTGTTCTCCAGCCAGGGGTGATCAAAAGGGCACTTAATGCACCCTTTTCGTGTGCATCAGACCTCACTTTGCTGTGGAATATTACCCAGAATCCTTGTAGGGGAGAACGGTTGCTATGGTGCTGTTCGGGAGCGGAAACTCCGAAGATAAAGGAAGCCGGTGTGGTGAAGAGTTTTTCAAAAATATTTGTGTTATTGGGTCACGAAATGTAGTTTTAAGAGTTTCAAGAGTTCAGTCGAGAATATAGTTGTTTAAAGCTAAAATCTGTGGTTTATTTTTTTTTAAAATAGCGCCTATTTTAAAAAATTGATCTGACGTTTTCGGAGTTCCAGGTGATCACAGGGCGGCGGGTGCTCAGCGCTCATGTACCCCGCCTGCAACAGCCTTGCCCCGGCTAGTCATTCGCGTTTCCCGCGGGCTCTGTTTCTAGTGGTTACACATGAGTTATAAATCGGCTTGTGTATATCGCTATATGCAAAAACGGCGCTATACTACGCACATGGCACCCTTTATCGTTAATATAACACGCGAACCCAAGGCGTTATAAATCCTTTAGCGTGAAAATGACACGCACACCCTACCCCACACCTAAACTTAGCCCTCACAGCGCGTGTTATATTAACGATAACGGGTGCCATGTGTATAGTATAGCGCCGTTTTTGCATATAGCGTTCTATATGACGTTAAAGGATGAGAATGCTTTGGTATATCAGACGGGCGATCTTTGGTCTCATTAATCTATGATTTGTTCCCTGGCAAATCTTTTGGCTGAGGGGAAAAGTGAAGTTTCATAACTTTATATATTTAGGCGATTTATCTGTAACGTTGAAACGTATGTTTGACTGAATCTTTTAACTTGCCTTATTTCTTGACTTATATAGCTCCTTATACTTTTTAAGCTACTTATACTTTAATAATGGCTATCTTGGTCAATAAAATAAAAAGAGACAGGGTTGTGTCATTTTATTTTATACAGCCTATGTTTGACTATTTTAATATATAGCCTATACAAAATATTTCACCAACACGTCGTTTTTTTTTTTTTTTTTTTTTTAATGTATGGGAATTTCATCAATTTCCATAATAACAATTAATATGCATTTCGAATCTGAATATGGTATGTGGAATGTGAATATGGTAAGGCAGTATAAACTCAGGTAAACCTCAATCACATATTATCTTAGCCAAAAAATGTTTTAATATTAATAACATTAACAGATAGGTTGCTGGCTAAGAGTAAAAAAAAAAATATATATACATTTTTTCATTTAAAGGATTGTGTCATGTTACAGCTATTATAAGCATAACACACATTAGCCAAATGAACAGTGTTTGCTGGTCACAACAGAATTGACGTAGCTTTTTGACGTGTGCAAAACTGTCCCAATTCTGCTCTTCACAGCTTCGGGCCCTTCCACACTTTCTCCGCTAAGTGCACTTTCAACAAGTGTCCACTTCGAGGAAGGCCTAAGGGCTCAAGGGAGTATTGGGACAGGGCCTATGTAAACAATACTTCAACAGGAAGTGGAAAACCGTTTAGTCAGTTAAAACCGCGATGAATCATGGGAAATAATCAAGGGCGCAGAATAACGTGGATGATCATAATGGGGGGCATCTGGGTGCAATGAACAATGATGAGAACAGACAAAGATTGTGGGAAATGCAGTTTCTAATGTGAATGACACCGAGGGTGAAAGGAGGATTTCTAGTGGACACCAGGAGACATAACCCATACTGTGACGATGTGAACGATAACTGATTGTTGTTTTTCTACATTTCTTTCCAGAACGCTTGAGTAAGCATTCAATCCAAATAATTTTAAATAATATTCTTGTTCTCCAACATACAGTATAAAACACAAATCATGTAGCATTTCAAAGCAATACTAGTTTATTAGTTTACGAACACATTTGAATCTAACAAAACATTTGCTCACTGTGACACAGAACAATGCTTTCTAATATGTTTCACTAGATTACTCGAGTCGGTGAAACTCTTCCCACACTGAGGACAGGCGTACGGTTTCTCTCCACTATGAAGTCGCTCGTGTGATTTCAGGTGTCCAGGCTGAGTGAAACTCTTGTCACAATATGAGCACTTGTAAGGTTTTTCTCCAGTATGAATTCTTTGGTGCCGTTTCAGATTGTCAGCTTTAGTAAAGCTCTTCCCACAGACAAAGCACATATAGTCTCTCACTTCATTGTGTGTTTTCTGGTGCAGTTTTAAACCGTTCAGACGTGAAAAACTCTTTCCACAGAGAGAACACACATAAGACTTCTCATCTGAATGAACTTTCAGGTGTTTATTTAGTTGTGATGATGAAATAAAATCTTTACCACACTGATCACAGTTAAATGGCTTTTCTCCAGAGTGAATGCGCAGATGATGACTGAGAGCTGATGAATCAGTAAAACTCTTTCCACACTGAGTGCATTTATACGGTTTCTCTCCAGTGTGAATTCTCATGTGTGTGTTAAGGTGTCCTTTCTGTGAGAATCTCTTTCCACACTGAGTGCAGGTGTGCATCTTTTGGGCTTTTGTTCTTTGAATTGTAAAGTTATGATGTTCCTCCTTCACTTCATTCAGTTCTTGTCTTTCCTCTTTCACTCTCACCTGGTCTAAAACACACAGAAATACAGTTAGAATCATTTCAAGTGAACTCTTATTTAATTGCAGAAGAGAGATCAGATCTGTTTTGTTATTCACTTGTTAATATAGTAAACATGTTTGACAACTGCTACAAGCTTATGATCCTTTGGATGTATATGATGCATCATCCATAAACTGCTTATTAATCCACATCTACCAAAGCATCAACAATGAAGAATCAAGAATGGACACCAACCTGTTTGTTCCTCGGTATCTTCATGTTTTATTCTGGATGGTTCTGGATAACTCATGTCTTCAATCTCCTCTTTAATAAACTCCATCTTTAACAGTCACACAGATTTCAGCTGCTACTCCTGGAGTTTGTCCTTCTCTTGTAGGATGATGGGAATATTCCCAGTATTTATTGGTGAATTGTTGTGGGAGGGGCTTCACTGCAGGTGTGAACTGTGATCACTGTGTTTTTATCCAATCTGCATTTAAAAAGTACAGGGCCATCATGTTAAACTGAGCAGCTGAAAAACCTCTTTGTCTCCAAAAGTTCCCTGTTTTCAGCTCATTCATTATGGTGATGTCTGAGATCTTCTGTAAATTGGCACATTAAATTGTTTTGTTGGCGTAAACCGGCTGAAACAAACGACAGCATCATCACCTTTGACTTAAGTTCTAGTCTTTGCTCATTAGGCTGATAACTGATCCGCGGCTGTACAAAAAACACATACTTAATATTTTTATATAAAGTCCAGAAGTTATGCTGCAACTTATTTTTAAAAACAAAAAGTTGTGTCAGCATTGCGATTCTTTGTATGCACGTTTAAACGCAATTTAAACAATGTACGTTAGGGCTATATTATGCATTACAAGTTGCTCAAGCAAGTGGTCAAATATTTCCTATATTAAAATCGCAAATAATTTAAATTAAAACTTGAAATTGACAAACGCATCCGACTTGCCTTTTCTTTTGCATCTTAATTTTAAAACAAGATCTTGCATGTCACAAAACTTATTTTTGCATCTCCACGATCGAGACGAGTTCATTCTGTCGCCTGGTTGAAGTAAATTGTAGTTTTCCTTGATTAAATGTGCATTTATGGTGAGATTACTAAATTTAATTTAATTAAATGCATTTATGGTGAAATTACTACATTTTCAGGTCAATCTTTATCATTTTGACCACCAGCGTTTGCAGCACAGCAGAAATAGATTGGGTGTGGAAACGATCGCTGTTCTGCTGTTATATGTACCACATCAGTGAAAAGTGAAAGCCCTAACCTGTTTACATGGTGCGTTAGGTTAGGAGACTGCTGTGCGGCACTTTGCTCGGCTTCAAGTCGCCAACAGCCATTTGAGCTTCTACTGCTTCCTGATAAACACCAACCTTCGTGCGCAGTGGCTGCACAAAATAGACATTTTGATCGACGCGCAAAAAATAATAAAAATATTAAGTATGTGTTTGTTGTACAGCCGCGGATCAGTTATTCACTGTGCAAACGCATCATAATATGTGCGTAGCTCCCCAGTAATTTATTAATTTACAGGCGATGTATTGACTGGTTCACCATGAGGATAACCATCCAACTCAAGATGCCGTGAGAACTGAATATACAAGAAATAATGTTACAATAAAGAATATAAAAGAACATAAATGAATCAAATAAATAAATGTTGCCTTTGTAAACTTTCTGAACAGAGTAAAATTAGCTTTAACAGTCTTTGTATAGATATCACTCCTTTCCATACAGCAACACAATCCACATTATCACATACAATGAATATACATGACAAACTTGCTTCATGGCTGCTTATTACCAAAAGTAGAACTTAATCTTGCATCTTGTGAGATCTTCTGTAACTTCAGATGATTAAATTAACTTAAATACTCTTTAGAAATGTCGAATACAGCTCCGACTGGCCATACGGTGTGGACAACTTTCTTTTTCTCCATCACTCTGAGCTTTTTCATAATAAAAGTCTCCGCTCAAATAGCTCTTTACAAGGGAGTTTCAAATTAAGAGTCCTTAATACAACAATCAATAAACATGAAATATTAACTGACTTCTCTGTCAGTTACAATGTGAACGCACTAACAGCACGCTCCTGCACCGCAACACACACTGCAAACGGGTGTGAAACGGATGTTAGATCCACTACAGTTCTTAGGAACTTAGATGTGTTTAAGAACTCTTTTTTTCGTACAACAGCAGCACTCATCTTGTTTGTTTATTAGTGGGTGCGGATGACCAGTCGTAGACCGGAAACTGATACGCCGACTTCTGACAAAAGCGGAAGTTCGATACTACTGTTGTGCACATAGCCTATTGGTCTTAAGTAATATTCTAATTTTCGGAGATACTGAATTTGGGTTTTCCTTAGTTGACAGTTTTAATTAAAGGAAATGCATTTTAAATATATAAGTCTGTGTTTAATGAATGAATACAATATCCAAGTCTCACTTTTTGAATGGAATTACTGAAATAATTCAACTTTTTGACGATATTCTAATGAGATTACCAGCACCCGTATTATTAGATACCAATCATAAAAGCTGTGAAAAATAAGAAATTAATCTATATAAATGCACTTCGATCATATTATTGAACAGCAGTTGTCGTTTACATTTTGACTTAACAAGAGGATGACAAAACTAATCTCTGATCACAGATTCCACTTGTTTTGTGTTAAATAAGGGTTCACTTGAAAATTCACATTTATCCTCCAGAACTCAATCTAACAATTTAACGTTTTATTGTTTCCGACCCGATGGAAGTGAAAGAGCAAAAACAAGAACTCAGGTTAAAGGTGATGATGCAGTTTATTTCAGCCTGTTCACACCAATAATCTTAATGTGCCAATTTACAGAATATCTCAGACATCACCATAATGAATGAGCTGAAAACAGGGAACTTTTGGAGACAAAGAGGTTTTTCAGCTGCTCAGTTTAACATGATGGCCCTGTACTTTTTAAATGCAGATTGGATAAAAACACAGTGATCACAGTTCACACCTGCAGTGAAGCCCCTCCCACAACAATTCACCAATAAATACTGGGAATATTCCCATCATCCTACAAGAGAAGGACAAACTCCAGGAGTAGCAGCTGAAATCTGTGTGACTGTTAAAGATTGAGTTTATTAAAGAGGAGATTGAAGACATGACTGATCCAGAACCATCCAGAATAAAACATGAAGATACTGAGGAACAAACAGGTTGGTGTCCATTCTTGATTCTTCATTGCTGATGCTTTGGTAGATGTGAATTAATAAGCAGTATATGGATGATAAATGATATACATCCAAATTATCATAACCTTGTATATAGCAGTTGTCAAACATATTTTTACTATATTAACAAGTGAATGGCAGAACAAAAAGTAAAACATCTGTTCTCTGTTGCTTTCTGTTAATAGATAAGGGTTCAACATATTCTAACTGTATTTCTGTGTATTTTAGACCAGGTGAGAGTGAAAGAGGAAAGACAAGAACTGAATGAAGTGGAGGAGGAACAGCGTAACTTTACAATTCAAAGAACAAAAGCCAAAAAGACGCACACCTGCACTCAGTGTGGAAAGAGTTTTACTCAATCATCAGGTCTCAGTTATCATCTGCTCATTCACTCTGGAGAAAAGCCATTTAACTGTGATCAGTGTGGTAAAGATTTTAGTTCATCATCAAATCTAAAAAAACACCTGACAGTTCATTCAGATGAGAAGCCTTATGTGTGTTCTCTCTGTGGAAAGAGTTTTTCAAGGATTAACAGTTTTAAACAGCACCAGAAAACACACAATGAAGTGAGAGAGTATTTGTGCTTTGACTGTGGGAAGAGTTTTACTAGATCTGAGAATCTGAAACGGCACCAAATAATTCATACTGGAGAAAAACCTTACAAGTGCTCATACTGTGACAAGAGTTTCACTCAGCCTGGACACCTGAAATCACACGAGCGAGTTCACACTGGAGAGAAGCCGTACGCCTGTACTCAATGTGGGAAGAGTTTCACAGAGAAGGGACACCTTAACAAACACATGAGAATTCACACTGGAGAGAAACCGTATACATGCACTCAGTGTGGAAAGAGTTTCAAAGATGCATCAGGTCTCAGTGGTCATCTGCACATTCACTCTGGAGAAAAGCCATTTAACTGTGATCAGTGTGGTAAAGATTTTAGTTCATCATCAAATCTAAAATCACACATTAAAGTTCATTCAGATGAGAAGCCTTATGTGTGTTCTCTCTGTGGAAAGAGTTTTTCACGTCTGGGCGATTTTAAACTGCACCAGAAAACACACAATGAAGTGAGAGATTATATGTGCTTTGACTGTGGGAAGAGCTTTAGTAGAGCTGTTGATCTGAAACGGCACCAAAGAATTCATACTGGAGAAAAACCTTACAAGTGCTCATATTGTGACAAGAGATTCAGTCGGTCTGGATCCCTGAAATCACACGAGCGAGTTCACACTGGAGAGAAGCCGTAGGACTGTACTCAGTGTGGGAAGAGTTTCAAACAATCAACTCATCTAGTGACTCATATTAGAAAGCATTGTTCTGTGTCACAGTGAGCAAATGTTTTGTTATTCACATAATGTGTAAATGTGTAGTTAGTTTACTAATAAACTAGTGTTGCTGTGAAATGCATCAAGAATTGTGTTTTATATGTTGGAGAACAAGAATATTATTGAAAATTATTTTAATTGAACACTTACTCAAAGAAAATAAAAATGCCAAAATGAAAAGAGACTGGAAAGAAATGCAGAATCCCTGAATCCCTGAAAATCCCTGAATTTGATTCAGTTTTTAATTGTAAAATTTGCAAAATTGTTAAATATATCATTAAACCTGAAAATTATCGGCCAAAATATATTTTTATTTTTTGGTCTAAAGAAAAAAGGCAGAAAAATGACGCCCCACAATGTGTATTGTATGTAATTACAATTAATTATAGTTATTTTATACGTTTTAAAAAAACCTTTTAAGCGTTTTCAGTTAATTCAAACTTTTGTTTATAATGTGTTCTCTTTGCCAAAAAGTATGAAACGTGTTTTGAAAAAAAAACATTTATTTCATAATGTGATTTAAACCCCACACACTGTCAATTCTTTTATTTCAATGAAAGGTTTGATTTTTGGCAATATTTTTAATTAAAGATCAAAAGGATAAACGATGCAGATTTATTTTTACAGCCAGTTTTGAACATGTTTACCAGGGGTGCCATTACTTCTCTATTAATAAAACTTTCTTAGTTTAGTTTAGTTTATTTGTTTAGCACGTTTAGTACAAATACAGAGTTCCACTCCTGTTCCTATTAACTCACGAGACATGCAGACTAAACATCAAAGAAGAAGAAGAGAAAAAAAACAGAACACACAATAAAAAAATAAATAAACAAAGCAATTCAATACAAACAAACAATACTTAGAAAAAACTACATAAAGGCATCGAGCTAGCAATAGTAAACTCTTCAAATGCTTTTTAAAAGCTGAATAAAAGCTGATAATCTCGAATAGACAAGTCTCTCTAAGATTTTCGATATACACAGGGGAATTGATATGCGACCCGTCTTAGGCTGGGCTGTCTTGAATTGAAGATAAGTTTTAATTGTGAAACCTTTTTGAAGATAAGATTAAAGGGATCAAATGGAATTGACAGTTAGTTTTGTGACCTATTGACCCCTCCTAGCCTCGATGATGTCTTGTTTTAACTGTGCTTTAATTTTGAAAGTGTCTGTTTGCATGTTTTTGAACTTGGTGTTTTGTCACCGCATCCCCTGAGCTGCAGCTGTGAAAGTGATTAGAAAAAAATTGTGGAGGTTTATCTGTTCTCTCAGTGTTCATCTGATCATCTGAAACGGCATCAACGAATTCATACTGCTCATATTGTGACAAGAGTTTCACTCAGCCTGCACACCTGAAAACACACGAGCGAGTTCACACTGGAGAGAAGCCGTACGACTGTACTCAGTGTGACAAGAGTTTCACCCGATCAAGTAATCTAGTGACTCATAGAAAGCATTGTTCTGTGTCACAGTGAGCAAATGTTTTGTTAGATTGAGATTCACATAAATGTGTAGTTAGTTAACTAATAAACTATTGTTGCTGTGAAATGCCACAAGATTGGTTTTTATATGTTAGAGAACAAGAATATTATTGTAAATGATTTTAATTGAACACTTACTCAAAGAAAATAAAAAATACCAAAATGAAAAGAGACTGGAAAGAAATGCAGAAAAACAACAATCAGGTGCCTCGTTAATCTCCAAAGTGGTTTTCTCACAAATTTGCTCATCCAATTACAGTTAAATAATACAGATGAATAATTCTTGATGCTGTAGACGTGTGTACCCCAGTCTGCAGCTGTGTTTATAAAACATCCAGTGGCAAAGAAGCGTAGAGCTAGACATAGGGATGCTAAAATGTCTTGAAGTTTCAGGCCTCAAATGCTCCTTCAAGTCAATTGCTAGTTGTTGTTTTGCATGTCTTGGAAAGACCTCAGCTAGGGTGAAACTCCTCTGGCGGTCGGGGACAGTGCCTCTGGGATGGCAGACCGGGGTGGTGGTTCCTCTTTTTAAGAAGGGGGACCGGAGGGTGTGTTCCAACTATAGGGGGATTACACTTCTCAGCCTCCTTGGGAAAGTCTATGCCAGGGTACTGGAGAGGAGAATACGGCCGATAGTGAAACCTCGGATTCAGGAGGAACAGTGCGGTTTTCGTCCGGGCCGTGGAACACTGGACCAGCTCTATACTCTCTACAGAGTGCTGGAGGGTTCATGGGAGTTTGCCCAACCAGTCCACATGTGCTTTGTGGATTTGGAGAGGGCATTCGACTGTGTCCCAGTCCCCCGAGGCGGCCTGTGGAGGGTGCTCCGGGAATATGGGGTTCGGGGTCCTTTGAGTGAATCTCTTATCACAATATGAGCACTTGAAAGGTTTTTCTCCAGTATGAATTCGTTTCAGATCACAAGATGTAGTAAAGCTCTTCCCACAGTCAAAGCACATATAATCTCTCACTTCATTGTGTGTTTTCTGGTGCCGTTTAAAACACTTCCGCCTTGAAAAACTCTTTCCACAGAGAGAACACACATAAGGCTTCTCATCTGAATGAACTTTGTTGTTTTAGATTTGATGATGAAATAAAATCTTTACCACACTGATCACAGTTAAATGGCTTTTCTCCAGAGTGAATGAGCAGATGATGATTGAGACCTGATGAATCAGAACAAATCTTTCCACACTGAGTGCAGGTGTGCGTCTTTTTGGCTTTTGTTCTTTGAATTGTAAAGTTACGATATTCCTCCTTCACTTCTTTCAGTTCTTGTCTATCCTCTTTCACTCTCACCTGGTCTAAAACACACAGAAATACAGTTAGAATCAGTTCAAGTGAACCCTTATTTATTAGCAGAAAACAACAGAGATCAGATCTTTCACTTTCTGTTTTGTCATTCACTTGTCCATATAGTAAATATGTTTGAAAACTGTTATATACAAGGTTATGATCATTTGGATTTCCATTTATCATCCATATGCTGCTTATTAATTCACATCTACCAAAGCATCAACAATGAAGAATCAATAATGGACACCAACCTGTTTGTTCCTCAGTATCTTCATGTTTTATTCTGGATGGTTCTGGATCACTCATGTCTTCAATCTCCTCTTTAATAAACTCCATCTTTACTCTAGTACGGCACACAGATTCACCTGGAGTGTCTCCTGCGTGTTCAGATGCACTTCTAGCCTTGATGATGAGAATATTCCCAGCATTTAATGCTGAATTATTTTGAAAAGGCTGTGATCACTCTGAAGTTAGAAGTAGTTTCAAGTTAGTTGTTTTTTTTAAGAAAAAAAAAAGAATGGTTTGATTTTTCTGATTTAGACTGTTCAAACTGTGTTTGTTTTCTTACTGTGTGTGTTTTAACACATCACCGGAGATTTATCTTGTGGATTTTTTGTTTGTTATTTGGTCTTACTATTTTTAAACTATAATACTTTGTTTGTAGACTGAACTAAAAAAGTGTAAGGGTATTTAAAAATTCGGTTTTCGGAGTCATTCAGCGCCTCCTGGAGGAAGAATTGAGTGTTTGCTGCTCAATGCGACACTCGCATGCGCCGTACGGCAGATGTTTACTACAGTTCTGAACACGTTTGCGGCGGCAACACGGCAGTGGACAGCGTGAGGATCTTTTGTAAACAAATGCGAAATTCGGATATGTCGGTTTAGTATTTAGTGTTTAGGTATAATTATAATAACGGATAATTATTATTACAAGCACATGACTACATTTATATTGACTACAGTGATGAGAATATCGTGTAATTGTTCTGAGCAAAGTTTATTTTCAATACATACATGAAGATCGGATCCAACGTCACCTCATTAATCACTCTGCTCTTCAATTTATGTTCTGTTGTTCTAATTAAGTAGATTATAAAATTACACATATTTAAGTATATTTAACCCTAATTCTAACATGTTTCCTGTTATTCCATGCTATTTTTCGTTTGGAATAATACACTATGTTATTGTTAAATATGTCTTCGACTGTAGATTAAATAAAGATGCTGTCAGAATTGCATTATTTTAGTTTTATTGATTTTTTATTTATTAAATTGTTCTTAGAGCATAAGAGCATTTTATGAATCAGTCAGTTAAATTTGTTGTAGACAAACATGAAGATTGATTGTTACATTCATTTCTATATTATGCTGACGTGTATATATATTGATTGGTTACAGTTTCTTCAAATTGTGGTTGATATATGAGGAATCTCAGAATGAGTTATAATGAAGAAAGATTATAATTTTTGTGGGATTGTTTTTTTTTTAAATCAGTAAATTATGTTTCTTCTCTTGTTTCAGAGTGATCACAGCCCTTTCAAAATAATTCGACAATAAATGCTGGGAATATTCTCATCATCAAGGCTAGAAGTGCATCTGAACACGCAGGAGACACTCCAGGTGAATCTGTGTGCCGTACTAGAGTAAAGATGGAGTTTATTAAAGAGGAGATTGAAGACATGAGTGATCCAGAACCATCCAGAATAAAACATGAAGATACTGAGGAACAAACAGGTTGGTGTCCATTCTTGATTCTTCATTGTTGATGCTTTGGTAGATGTGAATGAATAAGCAGTATATGGATGATAAATGATAGAGAAATACATCCAAATGATCATAACCTTGTAGCAGTTGTCAAACTTATTTTTACTATATTAACAATGAATGATAGAACAAAAAGTGAAAGATCTGATCTTTGTTGTTTTCTGCTAATAAATAAGGGTTCACTTGAACTGATTCTAACTGTATTTCTGTGTGTTTTAGACCAGGTGAGAGTGAAAGAGCAAAGACAAGAACTGAATGAAGTGGAGGAGGAACATCGTAACTTTACAATTCAAAGAACAAAAGCCAAAGAGACGCACACCTGCACTCAGTGTGGAAAGAGTTTCACACACAAAGGAAACCTTAACAAACACATTAGAATTCACACTGGAGTGAAACCGTATACATGCACTCAGTGTGGAAAGAGCTTTTCTCAAGCATCAGGTCTCAGTTATCATCTGCGCATTCACTCTGGAGAAAAGCCGTTTAACTGTGATCAGTGTGGTAAAGATTTTATTTCATCATCAAAACTAAAAGATCACCTAAAAGTTCATTCAGATGAGAGGCCTTATGTGTGTTCTCTCTGTGGAAAGAGTTATTCATGGCTGGACAGTTTTAAACGGCACCAGAAAACACACAATGAAGTGAGAGATCATGTATGCTTTGACTGTGGGAAGAGCTTTACTAGATCTGCTGATCTGAAACTGCATCAACGAATTCATACTGGAGAAAAACCTTACAAGTGCTCATATTGTAACAAGAGTTTCAATCATTCTGGAAACTTGAAATCACACGAGCGAGTTCATACTGGAGAGAAGCCGTACGAATGTACTCAGTGTGGGAAGACTTTCACCCAATCAAGTAATCTAGTGACTCATATTAGAAAGCATTGTTCTGTGTCACAGTGAGCAAATAATGTGTTGTTAGTTAACTAATAAACTAGTGTTGCTGTGAAATGCCACAAGATGTGTTTTATAAGTTGGAGAACAAAAATATTATTGATGTAGCACCCTGCTGAATTTATTTATTGTTTCCTTTGTGTTCTCCTAACAGAAATATAGTACCTATATCCTGAAATATTGTCCAGTTCAATTGTCCCAGGTTGGTAACACCTTTTCTTTTTTGTTTTTGTATTAATATGTGTTAATAAATTGTGAGGTGTTGAAATATGCTCTGTTGTGAGTAGCCCTTGAACATCCCTGGTCATTTTCTTTTGTATTGGGTGGTCAGTTTTGTTTATTATCCAATCATAGAGTAATTTGGGAACCTACTGGGTTTTTGAGGAGGCGGGACTAAAAGACAAAACGGAAAAGAGAGAGATGAAAAAGACAGATATATTTAAGAGCTAGTTGTGAATTCTGTATTATTGATTACATTAGTGGACTTGGGCTTGATCACGCTAGAGAAGCGTTTGTGGATCACACGCGTTCTCCCCGCGGAAAGGTGACCATCGCGTCATTACGGTCGAGACTTAATGATCTCGTTAGATAGAGAGTCCCCTCATCAACAGCCTGATCTAAAACTCTCCACGTGAGGTGCTACTTCGGCTGGTGGCCAGGGTGACCTGACTGATCCTCTTCAGTGACGCAACCCGCGTCTATTCTCCCGGGTCTATTTTCGGATGCCCTGCGGGTTTCCCTTAAAGGAGTAGTTCACTTTTGAAAAAACTTTTGCTGATAATTTACTCACCCCTTATGTCATCCAAGATGTCCATGTCTTTCTTTCCTCAGTCGAAAATAAATTAAGGTTTTTGATGAAAACATTCCAGGATTTTTCTCCAAATAATAGACTTACATGGGAACCAGACGGTTCAAGGTCCAAAAGACAGTTATTAACAGTTTCAGATTCAGCTTCAAATGTATTTAAACGACACCAGACGATGAATAAGGGTCTTATCATGCGAAGCGATCGGTTATTTCAAAACTTGAAATACGTAATTACGTTCAAAAGGTCACGGGCGACGTAGCCGGAAGTACAGAAACAAAATCGTCCGACATCGTTGTTTTACCTTTTAATTACTTTTTTTGTAAACGCGTTTGAGTTGGTTTGCACGTTCAACCTATGCGTTCAACTTGTAAACACTGACTCTATTTCAGGCTACGTCGCCTGTGACCTTTTGAACGTAATTACGTATTACGTGACGTTGTAAACACGCCTCACAGAATAGAGCAAGGCTAGCATTTGTCCTTAGAAAAGTTACATTTTTGGAATAAGTTTTGAAATAACCGATCGTTTCGCATGATAAGACCCTTATTCATCGTCTGGTGTCGTTTAAAGACATTTGAAGCTGCATCTGAAACTGTTATTAACCATCTTTTGGACCTTAGACCGTCTGGTTCCCATTGAAGTCCATTATATGGAGAAAAATCCTGGAATGTTTACATCAAAAACCTTAAAGCTAGGGTATACGATTTCAAAGATTGTTCATTATTAATATCCTCGTTTAGATGCTGGTTATGGTTATATAGTACAATCCTAACAATATGAATAGAAAAAAGAATAAAAAAAATCCATTCACTCTATTGGCTGTACAGCCGCAGAAAAGTTGACCAATGTAAGCTGTGCGGCCGAACAGCTTATATTGGTCAACTGCTCTCATCCAATCACCAGCTCCACTTGAAACTCCGCCTGGCGCTCGCGTCTCCAACCCAACCGCACCCGCCCCGCCCCCCTCTGTGTGTTAGCAAACAGCTGACAGACTGTCTATGGTAGCTAGCTAGTAGCGTCAGATCAGCAATGGATAAAGCAATGGATAAAAATATAAACTACAACAGCAAGCGGCCCCTGCTTGCCTCTACTGTAAAGTTAGGACGAAAGAGAAAGTCTGTGGAGGAAAGATCAGAGATTAAAAAGAAATGTGAAGAACGCCGGACTCTAAGTAGGATAAATATAGCGTCCTTCATTGACCGTTGGAGAAAGCTTCAGAGAGATCTGGGGCTGAAAACGACCCTGACACGGATGACTTTTTGTTGAGCAGGTAAACATTTATTTATTCTTTTATGGTGTGACGTGTTACGTGGCTTTTTATCAGTTTGACAACTTGCTCATGCTGCCGGTCGGCATTGGAATGTTAGCCGTTTAGCATCGCCGATCGCGGTTCAAAGTAATTATATGTCTTGTTCGAGGTTTCTGTTCGAGCCGATCGGAATTTGAACAAGATGCGCTGCGTGCTGCAATAACGATTACTGAAAACCTTAGCAATACTAGTAGTATTATAATGGTGGTGGGGATTTCATGTGTTGCTAATCTTGCGTTGACGTGAACTCAAACGTGACATACGTCAGGGATCAAGTTGCGCAGAGGGGAGGGGGGTGTGTGTGGAGGGGCGGGATGAGTTTTTTAAAACTTCCCTACCGTCTCGACCGATTTTTAACATCGTATACCATAGCTTTAATTTGTTTTCGACTGAGGAAAGAAAGACATGGACATCTTGGATGACATGGGGGTGAGTAAATTATCAGCAAAAGTTTTTTCAAAAGTGAACTAATCCTTTAATGCTCCAGAATTAGATCTGTTGTCCATCGCAGCATCACAGGGCGGGCTAGAATCTTCAGGAAGTGAAGATTCGACAGTGCTGCCACTTTCTGGTGTCCATATATCATATGTCGAGTCAGATCCTGAGATGACGGCCATGCCTCCCCGGGCCGCTGCGAGCATCGGACTAGAGTGGAACCTTTCACCCTGTCCTGAGTGATCGCTGCTGGATGATTGGCTTTTGGGTGTGGCCAAATGGGGGACCCCCATGTCTTCAAGCAAACCCTCATTAATCTCCTCCGCCCTTCCTTCCCTCGACGGGGCCGCTGCCCATGGGTACACTGGGGTGCCCCCGGTTGAACGCTCTGACGCGATGCTACTGTGTCCTCAGAGTGCTTCTTCTCAGTGCGATCCTAACCACCCGTCTAAAACCGTTTTTCGTCTAACCTTGTGGCGAAATCCTATAGCGCTCTATAGGAGGCAGCTGCCTCACTGCATGCCATGGCCATTCTGCTGGTCTACCAGACCCAGATGCTCACGGACACTAGTAGTTGCTGTGCGAGTAAACCTCACTCCCCGATCTCAATAGGCGCTCTAGCGACAGACGCTAGAGGCTGCATTCTTTAGCCTCCTTGTTAGAGCGCCCGACTCTCACGCCGGAGACCAGGGTTCGAGGCCCGCGAGTAGGACCCGGGTGGAGGGGTTACACATGCACGAGGGTGGGACTGACCCCGGGCTCCTCAATGAGCTGCACACCGCCACTGACCTTGCTCTCCGAGCGACGAAAGTGGTGGTACGCTCCCTGGGTCAGGTGATGCCCAACATTCTGTGGCTGTCTCATGTGCGGTATGTCGTGCGGACCCATCTTCTTGACACCCCCATATCCCAGGTCGGCCTCTTCGGCGGTGTGGTTGAGGTCTTTGCCCAACAGTTTTCAACCGCCCACGAGCAGACTGAGGGATCCGAGAGGACGGCGGGGCCGTCGGGCTAAAATAAGCCTCAGTCTGCTCGTGACCAGTTGAAAACTCAACCGCACCGCCGAAGGCGCCACCCTGTGGCTCTCACCCTGCCCGTTCACCTGGGCTGGCTCTGGAAGACGTAAGGGGGATGTCACAACCCTCTCCAGCCCCGTCCCCCGCTATATGTCGGCTTAAAGGAGAACTCCGGCGAACAATGAACCTTTGGTCTAATAAAACATCAGTACCTAGTCAATCGTTCTCTGAGTTTTGTTTTCATGATAATCGAATGTAAAGAGCTTTATCTCTAAAAACTGTTTAGTGTATAATGCTAGTAATGGGGGCATTGACTAAGTAAAAACAAATCACTAGTTTATACCACTAACAAGGCTGAAAATAGCCGCACACTAACGCAGTAACATAATGAGGCTCCATACATGCAAAACGAAGCATTGAGAACTTTGTAAGCGTACAGACCGTTTAATAAGAAGATACTTTATGAAGACAGTTCATTTCGCGTATACGGACAGGAGCCATCTTAAAAAATAGTCTCGGTAAGTCAAACCACGAACGTCGTGCTGAGTGATCTGAACTGTGTGAACGGCGTTCGTGGTTTGACTTATCGAGACTATTTTTTAAGATGGCTCCTGTCCGTATACGCGAAGTGAACTGTCTTCATAAAGTATCTTCTTCTTAAACGGTCTGTACACTTACAAAGTTCTCAATGCTTCGTTTTGCATGTATGGACACTCATTATGTTACTGCGTTAGTGGGGCTATTTTGAGCCTTGTTAGTGGTATAAACTAGCGATTTCTTTTTACTTAGTCAATGCCCCCATTACTAGCATTATACGCTAAACAGTTTTTAGAGATAAAACTCTTTACATTCGATTATCATGAAAACAAAACTCAGAGAACGATTGACTAGGTACCGATGTTTTATTAGACCAAAGGTTCATTGTTTGCCGGAGTTCTCCTTTAAGTGGCACTCTTGAGATAGGCTGCTCAGAGATGGGACTCAGTTCTTTCCCGGAGCTGGTAGCAGGGCCACTCCTTTCCCTAGTGGAGTCAAGTGGTGTGTTATCTATACGCATTCTGAGCTATCCGCGTGTATGTCTACGCTGTTAAATGTCCGAGCGAAACGAAGGAAAATGTAGATTACATCTGGGGAGCGATTATTTTTTTCCATAGGATGGTAGGGGAAGACTCATAAATGGTATTAACCCAGTGACGGGTAGGTTTAGGGACGGGGTTGGGTATAGGCCATTTATTTAAATAAACAGTAATGTAACTTTAAGTCAACGGCGTTCATAAACACGCTGAAAAGCGATTATGAGTGTTGATAGCGTGGCAAAAATGGAAATATGAATTGGCGTGAATCTCAATTGTACGGCAGATGTTTACTGCAGTTCTGAACACGTTTGCGGCGGCAACACGGCAGTGGACAGCGTGGGGATCTTTTGTAAACAAATGCGAAATTCATTTATGTCTGTTTAATATTTAGTGTTTGGGTATAATTATAATAATGAGTAATTATTATTATTGCAAGCACATGACTACATTTTTATTGCACTGTACAGTGCCGAGAATATTGTGTAATTTTTCTGAACAAAGTCTGTTTCAAATACATGAAGGATTTTCCTCATTAATCACTTTTTACATTGCTTGGTTACAGTTTCGTCAAATTTTGGTTGATATTGAAAATTCACATTCATCCTCCAGAGCTCATTCGAAAAACTTAATAAGTTTTAAAGGTGCTCTAAGCGATGTGACGTTTTTTAGGCCAAAATATTTTTTGTCACATACAGCAAACATCTCCTCACTATCCGCTAGCTGACAACCCAGGCTCCACAAATGGCAACAGAAACAAACTGCGGCAAACATAATAAACTGTTCCAGCCAATAACTGACAAGAAGGCCCGGGGCGGGGTTTTGGGGGGGTCAGTGTGCGGATAAGGTGGAGGGAGGGTCTATCTAGCCTCCATTTTGTTTGAAAATACTTTAAACAACGACAGGAAGTCGCCCGACATTGCTTAGAGCACCTTTAATGTTTCAGACTCGATGGAGGTGAAAGAGCAAAGACAAGAACTGAAGTTAAAGGTGATAATGCTGTAGTTTTTTTCAGCCTGTTGACACCAATAAAACAATTTAATGTGCCAATTTACAGAAGATCTCAGACATCACCATAATGAATGAGCTGAAAACAGGGAACTTTTGGAGACAAAGAGGTTTTTCAGCTGCTCAGTTTAACATGATGGCCCTGTACTTTTTAAATGCAGATTGGATAAAAACACAGTGATCACAGTTCACACCTGCAGTGAAGCCCCTCCCACAACAATTCACCAATAAATACTGGGAATATTCCCATCATCCTACAAGAGAAGGACAAACTCCAGGAGTAGCAGCTGAAATCTGTGTGACTGTTAAAGATGGAGTTTATTAAAGAGGAGATTGAAGACATGACTGATCCAGAACCATCCAGAATAAAACATGAAGATACTGAGGAACAAACAGGTTGGTGTCCATTCTTGATTCTTCTTTGTTGATGCTTTGGTAGATGTAAAGTAGTAGATTATATGATATACATCCAAATGATCATAACCTTGTATATAGCAGTTGTCAAACATATTTTTATTATGTTTTATTAACAAAGTTCGGGAGAAGCACGTTCAGATAATTAACACGGGTGGAGAGCACTCAGCAATCTGATTGCTAATGATTAAAACGTGTGTATATAGACTCAACAGTCTCACCTTATTTCTCTGACAGTTTAGCAGCAACCCTCCACCACCCCTTCTCCACTCTTCTAGTCGTGAACTCGTGAAATTAACAAGTGAATGACAGAATAACAAGTGAAAGATCTGATCTCTGATGCTTTCTGCTATTAAGGGTTCACTTGAACTGATTCTAACTGTATTTCTGTGTGTTTTAGACCAGGTGAGAGTGAAAGAGGAAAGACAAGAACTGAATGAAGTGAAGGAGGAACATCGTAACTTTACAATTCATAGAACAAAAGCCAAAGAGACGCACACCTGCACTCAGTGTGGAAAGAGTTTCACACGGAAAGGACACCTTAACATACACATGAGGATTCACACTGGAGAGAAACCGTATACATGCACTCAGTGTGGAAAGAGTTTTACTCATGACTCAACTCTCAGTCGTCATCTGCGCATTCACTCTGGAGAAAAGCCATTTAACTGTGGTCAGTGTGGTAAAGATTTTAGTTCATCATCAAATCTAAAATCACACATTAAAGTTCATTCAGATGAGAAGCCTTATGTGTGTTCTCTCTGTGGAAAGAGTTTTTCAAGACTGAACCATTTTAAACGGCACCAGAAAACACACAATGAAGTGAGAGATTATTTGTGCTTTGACTGTGGGAAGAGATTTGCTACATCTAGTGAACTGAAACTCCACCAAAGAATTCATACGGGAGAAAAACCTTACAAGTGCTCCTATTGTGACAAGAGATTCAGTCGGTCTGGACACCTGAAATCACACGAGCGAGTTCACACTGGAGAGAAGCCGTACGCCTGTACTCAGTGTGGAAAGAGTTTCACCCAATCAACTCATCTAGTGAATCATATTAGAAAGCATTGTTCTGTGTCACAGTGAGCAAATGTTTTGTTAGATTCGCATAAATGTGTTGTTCGTTAAATAATAAACTAGTGTTGCTGTGAAATGCCACAAGATGTGTTTTATAAGTTGGAGAACAAGGATATTATTAATGTAGCACCCTGCTGAATTTATATATTGTTTCTTTTGTATTCTGCTAACAGAAATAGAGTAGCTATATCCTGAATGTGGGCCCAGTTCAGTTATCCCTGGAAACACCTTTCTCTTTTGTTTTTGTATTAATATATTGTGTTGTGAGTAGCCCTTGAACCTGGTGTCATCTTAGCGGCCCCTAATTTAATAACAAACGATCGTTGTGAGGAAGAGAATCAATCAAAACTAACTTTAGCGTTTAATTTTAATTCAAAACAAAAATATTGATTAAAATTCTTACATTTATCTTCCCTGAAAAGCATGTGGTTCCTTGTACATGCAAGAATAAATAGCTCTTAAAAAGTGTAGCCTATTGTTTAATTGGCTGGTCTTTTACACCTCTCAGTAATACACATGCATTTTGATTTCAAATACTTTTTTAAATACAAATTTTCAGTAATATTAAATCAAGTTTTAATTCAAGTCGAAAATATGTTTGCTTTTTCCACAACTGAATAAGAAAAACACACACACTTTTTAACACACTAACAGACAATTTGAAAATAGTGGGGAAACTTTGAAGGCAATACATAAGGAAAACCACATTGGGAGCAAACGCAGAATGACAAAAACATTAGCTTTCATCCTTTCACACTGATCAGCACAGATCTGGCAGAACTCGCTGCAGGTGGGTGTCTTCAGTTATTATTTTAAAAAGTTTCCCCTTTCTTCCTCGACCTCCATAACCTGTGGGTTAGCAAAGAAAGCAAATATTTAATCTAAGAAGAATGTTAAATACATTTCAAAGGTTATTTCTTGCCAAGTTAGCGATGGCTAGTGGTTTTTACGTTAGCGTGACTGACAACACCACATGTTAGCTTCCAAAGCTAATATGCGAGTCTTCAATGCTGAAATACTGTCTCAACTCTCACAGCCTATTTCTTTTCGTTTGGAATAGTTTCGTTTAAAGATTTAGTTGCAAGCTTTCTGTATATATATTTCTCATGTCTGTAAGGCATATTTCGTTAATTTATGATGAGATGCACTGAAGTTCGCGTGCAATGCAAGTGACCGCGCAGGCCATGTCATGTTTAAATTGTCATATTTGCTTCTTATTTATTAAATCCAGGCAATTGGTTGATGAATTAAAAAAATAATTAAGATACAATTTATACAAAACTAAATTCACTTTAAAGAAAGGCTTTCTACAAAACACGCTTATGAGTCCAAATCAACCCACTTAATGTCTTCCGATATAAGTGCATGTCTTATCTGTTCATAATCAACATGGGGAAAAACATTATAATATTTCAACAAATATGGAACTAAATGCGCTTATTTAATGGCTACAACATGCATGTAGTAGGCCGACTCGATTTGTACAAATTGCTGCAAAATAATTTAATTCTGAATTTTGCACGTTGAAAGACATTTTATATAGTAAACTGCAACATCAAATTCTCCGACAATTGTGAGTGCATTTATTAATAATTATGATACTAAAATCACAATAAAGTAAATTATACTACAAAAAAATCAGATGAACCCAGAATATAAACGCAACATGTTTTTTATGTTGTTTATTTTTTATAAAAAAAATGTATAAACTTTTTCAAAGCATTAACAGAAAGCATTAACAATACAGTTAAAGCTAAATAAAGTTAAAGCTAATAACCCGTTCCACTAAAATAATATTACGAGTCATTAATCAAAAAAGAAAAAAAGAAATGTAGGCCTACATATGAAATTGGTCCATACATCATATTTAACATTAAGTGGGAGAGTCCTTATCTTCTCAATGTAATCATGGGTTGCCAAGTCTTATTTATTAAATCTAGGCAATTTTTTAACGAAACATCATTTAAAATTAATTTAACTACAATTAGAAATAGCAAATCAGTGTTTTTTTTTTTTTTTTTTAGAGCACAAGGTTAACGAAAATGTAGGTTAACTTTAACAGTCATGTAGCCTAAGGATGAGATGCTATTCTGAAAAGTCGAAAGTGAAACTTACCAGAAAAAAGTCGATATCTTCGGACTGGAGAAGCCATGTATTTTGCGCAAATTGCGCATGCTTATTATTGTCATTATTAATTTAATCTCCGATCATTATTTTACAGGGCCAATTCATTATGTTTAAAGATGTCCTCGTTTGGCTGGTTTGGAAGGACCAATTGTCAGCATTACATGAATGACACAGATTTGGAAGATGAATGACACACGAGTGTTTTCCTCAAATAGTGTACCCCCCCCCCCCCTCCTCCTCCTCCTCCTCCTCCTCCTCCTCCTCCTCCTTCCCCCTCCTCCTCCTTCTCCTCCTTCTCTTCCTCTTTTATGTTCATGCTTTTAATACTATTTGCGCCGTTATTTATTTTTATAATGCTGTAAAAAATTTTGTTCTGTTTTTCCTATTTTAATAAAACTTTTAAATACTGTTTTGTACAGTTGCATTGTTATATTTAGTCATTAGGACACGTTGTGAGGACGTCGTGGTAAAGTTAAATTTTTTATAAGGTTGGCCAACGTTCCAGAAACGTTGTAGGCACGTCCTCAAAAGATATCGCTGTTTATCCCATGGAGAACGTGGTATAGAGACGTGGTCATCTGGTCACCAGATAACTTCGCATTACAAGTCCTAGTAGCCTAATAGGCTATTATATGATTTAGAGGAAACTATCTCCATAAATAGTTTAATCACACGGTTCAAACTGTGTTTGTTTACTGTGTGTGTTTTAACGCATCACTGGAGATTTATCTTGTGGATTTTTTTTCTTTATGTTCTTTGGCATTGCTATTTAAACTATTAGGCCTATAGTTTGTTTGTACACTGAACTACAAAAGGGTATTTTGGTCTTTAAGTTTTCGGTTTTCGGAGTCATTCAGCGCCTCCTGGAGGAAGAATTGAGTGTTTGCTGCTCAATGCGACACTCGCATGCGCCGTACGGCAGATGTTTACTACAGTTCTGAACACGTTTGCGGCGGCAACACGGCAGTGGACAGCATAGACATATTGGACAGCGTGAGTATCTTTTGTAAACAAATGCGAAATTATTATATGTCGGTTTAATATTTAATGTTTAGGTTTAATAACAATAAGTAATTATTATTACAAGCACATGACTACATTTAATTGCACTACAGTGCTGAGAATATCGTGTAATTTTTCCGAGCAAAGTTTATTTTCAATGAAGGTCGGATTTACCTCATTAATCACTCTGGTCTTCAATTTATTTTCTGCTGTTTTAATTAAGTAGATTATAAAATGACATATATTTAAGTATATTTAACCCTATTTCTAACATGTTTCCTGTTATTCCATGCTATTTTTCGTTAGGAATAATACACTATGTTATTTATAATATTTCTTCGACTGTAGATTAAATAAAGATGCTGTCAGAACTGCATTATTTTAGTTTTATTCATTTTTATTCAAGCATAATAATATAATAACTTAATAACTTAGAGCATAAGAGCATTTTATTCATCAGTCAATTAAATTTGTTGTAGACGAACATAAAGATCGGTTGTTATTTATATTAATTTCTATATTATACTGACTTTTTTGTTTGTTTTTTTACATTAGGCTTCAAATTGTTGTTGATATCTGAGGAATCTCAGAATGAGTTATAGCCTAATGAAGAAAGATTATAATTTTTGTGGGATTGTTTTTTTAAAATCAGTAATTTATGTTTCTTCTCTTGTTTCAGAGTGATCACAGCCCTTTCAAAATAATTCAGCATTAAATGCTGGGAATATTCTCATCATCAAGGCTAGAAGTGCATCTGAACACGCAGGAGACACTCCAGGTGAATCTGTGTGCCATACTAGAGTAAAGATGGAGTTTATTAAAGAGGAGATTGAAGACACGACTGATCCAGAACCATCCAGAATAAAACATGAAGATACTGAGGAACAAACAGGTTGGTGTCCATTCCTGATTCTTCATTGTTGATGCTTTGGTAGATGTGAATTAATAAGCAGCATATGGATGATAAATGATAGAGAAATACATCCAAATGATCATAACCTTGTACAGTTGTCAAACATTTTTACTATATTGACAAGTGAATGACAAAACAGAAAGTGAAAGATCTGCTGTTAACCCTCAGAGACCTAAGGGTATTTTTACAATAAATTTTCCGTCTGGTGTTATTTACTAAAAAAGCTTGTAAAACATCAACCCTTTTTTGCACAGACAATTGATACACCTCTTTTTTTTTTTCAGGACAAATTTTCAGCATATTTGTGTTGCATTTATGTAATCTGAATGTAAAATAAGTTATGGGACATAAAGACAAATGAAAAAATAAATCGGAAATTTAATCACTCAAATATTTATTGAAATCACACAAAAATAATCAAATTTCCTCTGGAAAACAGTTTGTTCATGTCTTTGGAGTCCTGGAGCACAGGAATAAACATTATAACTTGTACAGAACCAAAACTATTTACATTTTTCCAAAAGAAGTCCAGGCGTTTTGGGCCTCATGAAATTCACTGGTGCCAAGCCTCAAAATATTCTTTTATTTATTATATTCTTTTTATACTTTTATACTACATTTATACTACTATAATACAGTAAATAAATAAATGGCACTTCAGCTGGGTCTATCCTGGTAATCTAGTTCCTCATCTGTCAAAAAGCTCTGTTCTCCTGAAAATCCATCATCCTGCATGGCATGGCATCAAAAAAGGCCTGCGCTTGATTACATCCATTTTGCTCTGTGTTTCTCTGTGAAACGCGCGTCTCCCTCTCTCCACAATATCAGCGCTTGGTTCATGCGTAGTGACGCACATCAATGTTTACGACGGATCAGCCTGTTATTGGTCAACAACCATCACGTGATATCCAAAATGGCTCAAAGTTGCACATAAGTGTTTGGATTTATTGCTCTGAAAAAAAAACTCTGAAAGGATGCACAAGTTCCAGGCTGGATAGAAAACCTTCTGTAAAGGCTAGAAAGACACCCCCGTGATTGCTAGCTCGTTAGCTTTCTGTTGGAAAAAACTGTAAGAAAATCGATAAATCTGTCATCGAATAATATAAATATTTATCGGAGGTGACTTGTGGCGTCGTCGACGATGAAGTCGGTCTCTGAGGGTTAATTAAGGGTTCACTTGAACTGATACTAACTGTATTTCTGTGTATTTTAGACCAGGTGAGAGTGAAAGAGCAAAGACAAGAACTGAATGAAGTGAAGGAGGAACATCATAACTTTACAATTCAAAGAACAAAAGCCAAAAAGACGCACACCTGCACTCAGTGTGGAAAGAGTTTCACAGAGAAAGGAAGCCTTAACACACACATGAGAATTCACACTGGAGAGAAACCGTATACATGCACTGAGTGTGGAAATAGTTTCACACAGAAAGTACACCTTGACAGACACATGAGAATTCACACTGGAGAAAAACCGTATACATGCACTCAGTGTGGAAAGAGTTTTTCTCAAGCATCAGGTCTCAGTTATCATCTGCTCATTCACTCTGGAGAAAAGCCATTTAACTGTGATCAGTGTGGTAAAGATTTTATTTCATCATCACTACTAAAATCACACCTGCAAGTTCATTCAGATGAGAAGCCTCATGTGTGTTCTCTCTGTGGAAAGAGTTTTTCACGACTGATCAGTTTTAAACTGCACCAGAAAACACATAAAGAAGTGAGAGATTATATGTGCTTTGACTGTGGGAAGAGCTTTACTACACCTGCTGATCTGAAACGGCACCAAATAATTCATACTGGAGAAAAACCTTACAAGTGCTCATATTGTGACAAGGGTTTCACTCAGCCTGCGCACCTTAAAATACACGAGCGAGTTCACACTGGAGAGAAGCCGTACGCCTGTACTCAGTGTGGGAAGAGTTTCACCCGATCATGTAATCTAGTAAATCATATTAGAAAGCATTGTCCTGTGTCACAGTGAGCACATTTTTTGTTAGATTCACATAAATGTGTTGTTAATTAACTAATAAACTAGTATTGCTGTGAAATGCCACAAGAGTTGTTTTTTATATGTTGGAGAACAAGAATATTATTGAAAATTATTTTAATTGAACACTTACTCAAAGAAATAAAAAAAAATACCTAAATGAAAAGAGACTGGAAGGAAATGCAGAAAAACAACAATCAGGTGCCTCGTTAATCTCCAAAGTGGGGAGATTACTTTCATTTCATATCATATAATCATATACGCGCCATCTTCCCCTCAGATTTCTCTGCCGAAAAGAAGACTGTCAACTGTCCTGAAATTGGGAAAGCAAATCCTCTCTGACTGGAATCTTCCAGGGGGACGATTCCAGAAGAGGAATCAACTCCGAAAACCATGGGTCAGACGGCCAAAACAGGGCTACTAGAAGGAGGCGGACTCCGCTCTCCGCTCTCCCTCACTCTGGCCAGGACCGCCTGGATCAGTTTGATGGGCGGGAAGGTGTAGAGTCTCTGCATTGGCCAAGGGTGGGCGAATGCATCTATCCCCAACGGAGCTGGAGGACTCAGGAAGAACCAGAGCGGGCATTGGGATGACTCCTGCGAGGCAAAGAGGTCCACTTCAGCTTTTCCGAACACCTCCCAGATCAGGGAAACTGTCTGACGGTTCAACATCCAATCCCCCGACTGGAGTTTCTGCCTCCAAAAATCCGCTGCGAGGTTCAGAATCCCTGGGACATGGACCGCTCTCAGAGAAAGGAACCTGCTCTGAGACCATAAGAGAAGATGACGCGCATGCCTGTCCAGGGAGCGAGATCGAGAACCTCCTCGCCAGTTTACATGGGAAACTACCGCCATGTTGTCCGTCCTGACAATGACATGGTGACCCTTTAGAAAAGGGAGAAAATGACGCAAAGCCAGGAATACGGCTCTCAGCTCCAAGCAGTTTATGTGCCAAGCGAGGGTCTCACCCGTCCAGACCCCACATGCTGGCCTGCCCTCGAAAACTGCTCCCCAGCCGGTTAGAGAGGCATCCGTCGTAATCATCTGGCGACGGAATACCGTTCCCATGCTGACCCCTTTTCGAAGAAAAAGAGGGTCCCGCCAAATTGACAGGGCGTGAGAGCAACTGCCCGACACCCTCAACAGGCGAAAGGCTGGCCCAGTGGGCCGGATCCCTGAGAGCTTCATCCACCACAGGAAGGGCCTCATGTCGAGCAGACCCAGGGGTAGCACAGGGGAGGCTGCGGCCATTAAGCCCAGAAGCCTGCGGCAAGTGCCCACAGAAACACGATGGCCTAGAGAAAAACGGGCCAAACATGTCATCAAACTGCAAATCCGTGCAGGAGCCAAACGGGCCTGCATACGAACGGAATTCATGTGCACACCCAAGAAAACTGTGTGCTGAGCTGGAGTAAGAACACGCTTCTCCACGTTCAACCTCAGGCCGAGAGACTGAATATGGCGCAGAACAGTGTCCCTGTGGTGGGTAGCCAACTCCCTGGACTGGGCTAGGATGAGCCAGTCGTCCAGATAATTGAGAATACGGATGCCCTGGAGGTGCAAGGGGGCCAGTGCTGCATCCAAGCATTTCGTGAACGTTGTCGGTGCCAGGGCGAGGCCAAAGGGGTGGACCCTGTACTGGAACACCATTCCTCCAAAGGCGAACCTGAGGAACTTTCTGTGACGCTGCACGACCTGGATGTGAAAATAGGCATCCTTGAGGTCTATTGTCACGAACCAATCTCCTGCCCGAATCTGAGAAATGATGGCTTTCAACGTCAGCATCTTGAATTTCCCTCTGAAAAGGGCGAAATTCAGTCGGCGGAGGTCTAGAATGGGACGCAGGCCGCCGCCTTTCTTCGGAACCAGGAAATAACGGCTGTAGAAGCCTTGTTCGGTTTCCTCCGCAGCAACCTCTATCGCACCTTTGAGAAGGAGGGAAGAAATTTCCTGCTGTAGCACAGAAGCCTGAGTGGCGCTGTCGACTACAGTAGGAAAAATCCCTAGGAGGGGGAGAGGGGAGAGAACCAAGGGTGTCTCCTTTCTCTCGCACCGGGCTGAGTAGAAGCGGTAAAATAGGGCCTGCTCTTTGAAACACCTTGGGTGGCGAAGGAGACAGGGTAAGGAAAGGAGAGCTGGTTGGAGGTGGACAGAAACGCTTGCGCAGTCTGTCCCAACCTCGTGCATGTGGAGGCGCTCTCCTTTTCCTGACCAAGGGGTCAGGAGCGGGACGAGGCAGCTGGAGCGGTCGGCTTGTCGGATCGCTTCAGCTGCACACGCTTGTGAGGTCGTTGACGGGGGAACGGGCGACCGCTGGCTCCCCAAACCATGGGAGGTGGGGGACGCGCTGGGTCACTTCTCCTGGGAGAGAGCTCCACTCTCTGAGAAAGACGTTCTCTAGGTCTTCGGGCAGGAGAGGGAGCGGGGGATTCCCTAACTCTCCTGGGCATGAACTGCTTAAAAGCGGCTGATTGCGACTTGGAGGAACGGAATTTCTCGACCACTGTGCTGACTGAACAGCCCTGACTGAGAGATAGGGCCGTCAAGGAGAAAAACCTTCTCTTTATCGCGGATTTCAGTGAGGTTGAGCCATAAGTGGCTTTCCGCAGCAACCGCGCCAGCCATAGAGCGGCCCACCGCACGTGCAGTATGTTTGGTGGCCCTCAAGGCCAAATCCGTGGCAATACGAAGCTCTTTCACAGCCTCAGGAGTGACACCACTACCCTCATCCATCTCTTTAAGGATATCGGCCTGGTAGGCTTGAAGGATGGCCATAGTGTGAAGGGTCATGCCTGCTTGACCAGCCACCAGGTAGGGTTTTCCAATGAGAGAGGAAGAAGTTCTACATGCTTTAGATGGAAGGAGAGGACGTGCCTTCCAAGATGGCGCCGACGACAGAGAAAGATGGCTGGCCAAAGTATCCTCAATTGTAGCCCTGTTCCACAGAACCCACGAGTTTGGTGAAATCAGCAGCTGCCGCATTAGTGAGACGCACAGAGAAAGGCTGATTCCAGGATCTGGAAATCTCCCGTTGCAGATCGTTGAAAAACGGCAGTTTTCTCCGTTGGGGCCTAGAATTAGGGCGACTGAGAAACCTCTCGTCGAGTTTGGATGACTGAGATTCGCGGGGCTCGTCAGGCCAGTCAATCGCGAGTTTCTCCGTAGCGCGCGAAAGCACTTCCACGGGCTCAGAGTAGGCCGCGGTAGGCCGCGCTTCCTGGCCGCTAGGCGGGATAACGTCATCGATAAGAGCAGGCCCGAAATCCTCGGAGTCGGAAGCCGCGGTAAAAATTACGTCCTCCAGCCCGAAAGAAACAGAGTCGCGTGCACAAATAATACAAATAATCGTGAGCGAACTCGACTGGCATGTGAGCGAGCTCGGGAGATGGAGGGAGAGAAACAGCGGGGCCCGTCTGCTCAAACTCCACATCCTCGAGCTCAACATCCGAACCCCAGGTCGCGGATCCTCGAGAGGCCTCGGGAGCGCGACGGGGGGAGGCGAATTTAGGATCCTTCTCAAAAACCGCGAGCCGAGAGCGCGGAGTTTTTAGAAGTAAATTATCACAGAATTTACATTTAGAAGATCCTAGAACGGCCTCGTGCGCATGTGAGAAACCCAAACACCTGATGCACTTACTTTGAGAACCTTAGCTTCTCCAGCAGTTCATTTTCAGAAAGGACTTCTAATGGGTTTGAACTGTCTTTGAAAACTCTTTCTCTTCTTATTGCCCTTTCATGAAAGCAAATATTAAAATGTGCCCTAGACAAGACAAAGCCAGACCACTTTTGTGAATCTAGAGCACTTGAGAATTTATTTGTTTCCATGGCGACATAGGTTGTAAAGGAAAGTTAGCCAAGGGGGAACCAGTCTAATTTTTTTGTTTGACTTAAAAAGTAAATACCAGTCTGAAAAAAAAAATTAGATGACTAACTTGCAAGACTAGTCTTAAATAGATTTATGCAACCGTTCGCAGATGTAACAATAATTGAAATCTATGTGACATAATATGGTAAATAAATGTTATTAATACATACTATGGAGTTTGTTAAAGTGGAGAATGAGGACGTCAGTTATCCAGAAACATGCAAAATAAAACAAAATACTGAAGAACAAACATTCTCGATTCTTCATTATTACTGACTACTGAGGAACATTTTTCATCATATATCGTATCAAAGATTACATTTATTGTTGTTACTTTTAGCTTTTGTATTTGATTTAATTTAGATGATTTAATGTGTTCATTTTTAGACTTGATGGAAGTAAAAGTGGAAAGGGAAGAACTAAATGAAGAAAGAAACCACTTCACTTTCACTTGCTCTCGGTGTGAAAAGAGTTTTGTGCAAAAAGGGAACCTTACGAATCACAAAAATCACAGTGGAAAGAAACCATTTCATAACTATAAAGATAAAACAAAAATTGTGCATTGTGCCTCAAAAAATCCAATAATAAAATGAATGGCAAAACACCTCAGCATGTCCAGTATTTTATAGTTTTAATGGTAAAATGAGGCTATACAGGAATGTGAAACTTACTGAAAAAAACCCTGAACCCCCATCTGACATGACTGCGGCTACATGCTGATGGGACATAACCACTGTTTAACTCCGAAAAAAAAAAAAAAAAAAAAACAGAAAAAAACTTGAAGCCAAAATACGGCATGCAACAGCATTTTCTGTTTTGATCAACTAATTTTTGCTCCTCTCTGCACTTTACTGTTAAAAGACGTAAGTGTTAATAATTTGTAATATAGTCAGAAGCGACTTTCATGATTTTGTTGCTGTATTTTTACATCTATTCAAATGAAGGATTTTACAAAACACATTTATTTTATATGCTGGAATATGTAGAAATTAGAAGAAGGGCTGTCTTTATTTCATTAAAATATGGTGGAATGTGCAGAAAATAGGTTTAAATGTTCAACAATTTTCTTCTAGTCTGAGACTGTTGCATTTAATTTAATTTTTGCTCGATGCAATGTGCATAAAGTTAAAATATTGAAAGAAATAAAACAAGTTTAAAAAAAGAAAATGTTTAATTTGATTACATTTTAGATGGAATATGCAGAAAGAATAGAATTAGGCTGAAAGGTCTATGATTTAGCGTATTCAGGTCGTGCATCATGTTTTTGAAAAAAAAAAACTTAGTAAAGTAACTAGTAAAGTAACTAATTACTTTTGAAAATAAGTAATCAGTAAAGTAATTGGATTACTTTCTTGGAGAAGTAATCAGTAACTAATTACTATTTCCAAGTAACTTGACCAACACTGTTGTCCAGTAACTCCAGTTGGAATTTTCACCCCGATATGGAGATGGTCCTCACTGGAGATATGGTTGCCGCGCTACCGAAGCGCCATCTAGTGGCTGTTACCAAAAAAGCATCAGAGTTTCGCCTCTTGTTCTTGTTCAGAGTTTCGCCACAAGTTTCCGAGGGGCGCTCCTGTAAAAAATAAAGTGGGTGAAACTTCCGGTGACGCGGCGGAAGTAGCATTCCAATGGTATTTTGTGTGTTAGTTAGCGAAGAGGCTAGCTGTTTTTCTGAGAATTATTTTACTATTTAAAGACGCAAATCTTTATGAGAGATGTCGTTACGGAGCTCAGGGACAACATGCGCTGTTCGCGGTTGTACGTATAACCGGACTAAAAATTCAGTGGCTTAAACGTGATTGTTTTGAACATAAGCTGAAAACGAAATCACAGTGATCCTACCAACGACTGTAGTTTCCATCACCTCCCAAAAGACGACGAATCTTCCTGTGTATATTTGTTTAAAATCTTAATATTCTATCAACTCTCTCAGCATGTGTTTGGCTGTTCTCTACTGATGTTACAGCTAAACTCAGGATCAAAGCCTGTGTTGACAGAATACCAAATGTGCCAGTTAATGTATTCAAGCAGCACATTCATTTATAATTTTGAATAAACTCCAAAGCACAATGACTAAGTGTGTATTTTTTTATTTTAATTGTTTGTCAGCTCACACAACTGCCTTGATGAGTATTGATTATTAATAATGTTATTATAATACTCCCAATCAACTACTGCGGAGGGTAAAGGTACTGTTATTTCACCCTTTTGAATTTCGTTGAGGTTGTGTTCACACATCATTAGCTAGTTTGGATCGCTATAACTTGAATGACTGTCAACTGTTGAATGAGTGTTAAGCATGTCAAATCGCGCTTTGTTTACTTCCAACCGGAAGTCGCGCCCACTTTTGACGCAAGGCCTCATGGGGCGTAGGAAACTTGTGGATACTCGATAATGAGATCTGTTTGATTCAAACATTCTTCCATAAATCTTCCTTTGTGTTCAGCAGAACAAATAAACACATAGAGGTTTGGAACAACATGAGGGTGAGTAGCCTAAATACTGACAGAATTTTCATTTTGGGGTGAACTAACGGTTTTCGGAGTCATTCAGCGCCCCCTGGAGGAAGAATTGAGTGTTTGCTGCTCACTGCGACACTCGCATGCGCCGTACGGCAGATGTTTACTACAGTTCTGAACACGTTTGCGGCGGCAACACGGCAGTGGACAGCGTGAGTGTTTTCTTTTGTAAACTTCCTCCTAAAGCTAAGGAAAAAATATTGAGAATTTAGAGCATGTCTTCTTTGATTGTGAAATGGTGCAACCCTTTTGGAGTGAGGTGCAGAACTGGTTAGTGACTAGGAGGGTTGAACTTCCACCTCTCACGGTGAAGTTAATTAGGTTTGGTGTTTGTCTGGATAACAAAGATTGTGAGTTTGTTATTAATTTCTTGTTATGTTTTGGAAAGTTTTTCATACACAAATGCAGATGGTTTAAGTCTAAACCCAACTTTAATCACTGGTTGAATGAGGTGAAACTCTTGTGCAATTCTCTAAAATTAGTTAAAAATCAGAAAGCCCTTAAATTGATTTCTCTTTTGGATATGTTTAAATTAATTTAAAAGTCCCTTGTTATATTTATTTATTTATTTATTTATTTATTTTGTTCCTTCATTGTATTTTTTTGTATTGCTTTTAATTATTTGTTTGTTCTAGTTTTTTTTTTTTCTCTGTTGTGATGCTCAACCTTAGGCTGAATAATTGAGGTTATTTGCTGAGATGTGTTAATGTACCTTGTTGTTTTATGTTGTTGAAGAATAAAAAAAAAGAAAAAAAATTCTTTTGTAAACAAATGTGAAATTCATATATGTCTGTTTAATACTTAGTGTTTAGGTTTAATTATAACAATGAGTAATTATTATTACAAGCACATGACTACATTTTTATTGCACTACAGAACCGAGAATATCGTGTAAATTTTCCGAGCAAAGTTTATTTTCAATGAAAGTCGGATTTACCTCATTAATCACTTTTGTCATCAATTTATGTTCTGCTGTTCTAATTAAGTAGATTATAAAATAACATGTATTTAAGTATATTTAACCCTAAGTCTAACATGTTTCCTGTTATTCCATGCTATTTTTCCTTAGGAATAATACACTATTATTTATAATATTTCTTCGACTGCAGATTAAATAAAGATGCTGTCAGAACTGCATTATTTTAGTTTTATTCATTTTTATTAAATTGTTATAGAGCATGATAACAATAATAACAATAACTTATAGCATAAGAGCGTTTTAGTCATCAGTTAGTTAAATGTATTAATATATAATTGTAGACGAACATAAAGACCAGTTGTTATTTAAATTAATTTCTATATTATGCTGACATTTTTTTTTATTTTTTTTTTACATTAGGCTACTTGGTTACATTTTATTCAAATTGTTGTTGATATCTGAGGAATCTCAGAATGAGTTATAATGAAGAAAGATTATAATTTTTGTGGGATTGTTTTTTTTTTTTAAATCAGTAATTTATGTTTCTTCTCTTGTTTCAGAGTGATCACAGCCCTTTCAAAATAATTCGACAATAAACGCTGGGAATATTCTCATCATCAAGGCTAGAAGTGCATCTGAACACGCAGGAGACACTCCAGGTGAATCTGTGTGCCGTACTAGAGTAAAGATGGACTTTATTAAAAAGGAGATTGAAGACATGAGTGATCCAGAACCATCCAGAATAAAACATGAAGATACTGAGGAACAAATAGGTTGGTGTCCATTCTTGATTCTTCATTGTTGATGCTTTGGTAGATGTGAATTAATAAGCAGTATATGGATGATAAATGATATACATCCAAATGATCATAACCTTGTACAACAGTTGTCAAACATATTTACTATATTAACAATGAATGAACAAATATAAGTGAAAGATCTGATCTCTTGTTTTCTGCTAATAAATAAGGGTTCACTTGAACTGATTCTAACTGTATTTCTGTGTGTTTTAGACCAGGTGAGAGTAAAAGAGGAAAGACAAGAACTGAATGAAGTGAAGGAGGAACATCATAATTTTACAATTCAAAGAACAAAAGCCAAAAAGACGCACACCTGCACTCAGTGTGGAAAGAGTTTCACACATAAAGGACACCTTGACACACACATGAGAATTCACACTGGAGAGAAACCGTATACATGCACTCAGTGTGGAAAGAGTTTTACTCAATCATCAGGTCTCAGTTATCATCTGCTCATTCATTCTGGAGAAAAGCCATTTAACTGTGATCAGTGTGGTAAAGATTTTATTTCATCATCAAATCTAAAACAACACTTGAAAGTTCATTCAGATGAGAGGCCTTATGTGTGTTCTCTCTGTGGAAAGAGTTTTTCACGTCTGGGCGGTTTTAAACAGCACCAGAAAACACATAAAGAAGTGAGAGATTATATGTGCTTTGACTGTGGGGAGAGCTTTACTACATCTCGTGATCTGAAACAGCACCAAAGAATTCATACTGGAGAAAAAACTTACAAGTGCTCATACTGTGACAAGAGATTCAGTCATTCTGGACATCTGAAAAGACACGAGCGAGTTCACACTGGAGAGAAGCCGTACTACTGTACTCAGTGTGGAAAGAGTTTCACCCGATCAAGTTATCTAGTGTATCATATTAGAAAGCATTGTTCTGTGTCACAGTTAGCAAATGTTTTGTTAGATTCACATAAAGTAAATGTGTAGTTAGTGTTGGGGAATTTTAATCTCACATGTATTACATATGATCATTGGGTCTTGAGTTTCTATCTGTTTACCTCCTACAGTATATGTAATAACAGAGGAATGTCTTTTAGTTTTGTTATCCGTGAAGGAGGTAATTTGTCTTTCCGTTATCAAGAGTGGAGTGAGGTACCAGACAACTGGACGGGTCAGAGGTCATCTTAGACTGGGGAGGATAGAGGGGGTTAGCGGTAAATCTAACCTAGCATTTTTAATCCATTGCTTGTGGAATTTTACAGGGCTTCTGGGCGTCACTCTCTTCACAGTGTACCAATCTGTGTTAGCGACTGGGCCTATTCTTGCAAGAATAAACTTCTCTTTTCTTTTATTAATTTGACTCTGAAGTGTCTCTTACGCAGCGATGTCTGTTTATTGAATTTTTGCCTTAACATTAGTTGATCCATTGAGGACTAATTTTGATCAGGCAAAAAATGATCGGGCCAATCAAATTGCCAGGGCGGGCTTTAAACGATGATGGACAGGTGATCTGCAGGGACGTAATCATCACGTTATTAAAGAGCGCGTGTCAAAGATGACTGCAGCTGGAGAATTGAGATGTATAGATTCCGCTGTAAAATAAATCGACAGCTCATTAATTTTAATAGACAAACAGAGAACTGCAATCAAGGCATTTGTCGATCGGAAAGATATTTTTGGCGTCCTTCCAACATGATTCGGGAAAAGTGTAACTTATCAGCTGGCTCTGACGGTCACTAAGAAGATGGGACGTAATGAAAAGCCTGTGGTCGTTGTGGTTTCTCCTTTGGTCGCATTCATAGAGGAGTAAGTAAAAGAAGCGACACTCGTTATTTAACTTCTAAAATAAATAAAGTTAGGCTACGTTCTTTAGTTGACAACTGTATGCAAAGTAGCTGACTTACCGCGTTGCTCTGATTGGTTGTAGGTTTACCGACTATCCAATTGAGTGCAGAGTTGTTGTTTTTCCTGATTCGGTTAAGACACGCCTCATAATCAAAGCCCTACGGAGGAGTTTCACTCATCTTCTGACAGGAATATGAGTATGATGAAGTCAGGCTATAATAAACTAGTGTTGCTGTGAAATGCCGCAAGATTTGTTTTTTATATGTTAGAGAACTATTATTGAAAATTATTTTAATTGAACACTTACTCAAAGAAATAAAAAAATACCTAAATGAAAAGAGACTTGAAGGAAATGCAGAAAAACAACAATCAGGTGCCTCGTTAATCTCCAAAGTGGGTTCCTCACAAATTTGCTCATCCAATTACAGTTAAATAATACAGATGAATAATTCTTGATGCTGTAGACGTGTGTACCCCAGTCTGCAGCTGTGTTTATAAAACATCCAGTGGCAAAGAAGCGTAGAGCTAGACAAAGGGATGCTAAAATGTCTTGAAGTTTCAGGCCTCAAATTCTCCTCCATGTCAATTGCTAGTTGTTGTTTTGCATGTCTAGGAAACCTTAGCTTCTCTAGCAGTTCATTTTCAGAAAGGACTTCTAATGGGTTTGAACGGTCTTTGCAAACTCTTTCTCGTATTATTGCGCTTTCATAAAAGCAAATATTCACCCTGGCAGGGGTTTTCAAAAAATTTCGGTTTCAGTGTGGACGAACGGCATAAAAATACCTGTGTCCGTGTGGACATGGCCTGACTTAAAAAGTAAATAAATACCAGTCTGAAAGAAAAAGAAAAATTAGACGACTAACTTGCAAGATTAATCTTAAATAGATTTATGCAACCGTCCGCAGATGTAACAACAATTGTAATGTAACATACTATGGTAAATAAATGTTATTAATATATACTATGGAGTTTGTTAAAGTGGAGAATGAGGACGTCAGTTATCCAGAAACATGCAAAATAAAACAAAATACTGAAGAACAAACATTCTTGATTCTTCATTATTACTGACTACTGAGGAACATTTTTCATCATATATATTATATCATATCATCAAAGATTACATTTATTGCTGTTACTTTTAGCTTTTGTATTTGATTTAATTTAGATTATTTAATATGTTCATTTTTAGACTTGATGGAAGTAAAAGTGGAAAGGGAAGAACTAAATGAAGAAAGAAACCACTTCACTTTCACTTGCTCTCGGTGTGAAAAGAGTTTTGTGCAAAAAGGGAATCTTACGAATCACATAATTCACAGCGGAAAGAAACCATTTCATAACTATAAAGATAAAAAAATAGTGCATTGTCCCTCAAAAAAATCCAATAATAAAATAAATGCCAAAACAGACCAGAATATTGCCTCAGCATGTCCAGTGTAATGGTAAAATGAAGCTGTGTCTAGATGTATAAAGAAAGACCTGCTGCTCACATTATTTAAAATAATTTGCTTTGTTTGTTGTTCAATGGAAGATACGTTTTCAAATAAATGCATTAAATGGAAATATGTAGGCATATGTTAATACTTGTACATGGTCCCTTTTCTAATAAATAAATTAAACACACAAACAAACAAAAATCAAAAAAGTTCATTTGTAAACAAAAATTATGTAGCTATTCTCTGAGAGTCAAATGTTGCTTTTGTCCCTTTATTTGCTGTGAAATGGCAAAAAAGAATAAAAGTTTGATTTTTCAGATTTAGAGGAAACTATCTCCATAAATAGTTTAATCACATGGTTCAAACTGTGTTTGTTTTCTTACTGTGTGTGTTTTAACGCATCACCAGAGATTTATTTTGTGGATTTTTTGTTTGTTATTTGGTCTTACTATATTTAAACTATAATACTTTGTTTGTAGACTGAACTACAAATGGGTATTTTGGCCTTTAAGGTTTCGGTTGTCGGAGTCATTCAGCGCCTCCTGGAGGAAGAATTGAGTGTTTGCTGCTCAATGCGACACTCGCATGCGCCGTACGGCAGATGTTTACTACAGTTCTGAACACGTTTGCGGCGGCAACACGGCAGTGGACAGCGTGAGTATTTTCTTTTGTAAACAAATGCGAAATTCATATATGTCTGTTTAATATTTAGTGTTTAGATTTAATTATAACAATGAGTAATTATTATTACAAGCACATGATTACATTTTTATTGCACTACAGAACCGAGAATATCGTGTAAATGTTCCGAGCAAAGTTTATTTTCAATGAAAGTAGGATTTACCTCATTAATCACTTTTGTCATCAATTTATGTTCTGCTGTTCTAAATAAGTAGATTATAAAATAACATATATTTAAGTATATTTAACCCTAAGTCTAACATGTTTCCTGTTATTCCATGCTATTTTTCGTTAGGAATAATACACTATTATTTATAATATTTCTTCGACTGTAGATTAAATAAAGATTCTGTCAGAACTGCATTATTTTAGTTTTATTCATTTTTATTAAATTGTTATAGAGCATGATAACAATAATAACAATAACTTATAGCATAAGAGCGTTTTATTCATCAGTTAGTTAAATGTATTAATATATAATTGTAGACGAACATAAAGACCAGTTGTTATTTATATTAATTTCTATATTATGCTGACATTTTTTTGTTTAGTTTTTTTTACATTAGGCTACTTGGTTACATTTTATTCAAATTGTTGTTGATATCTGAGGAATCTCAGAATGAGTTATAATGAAGAAAGATTATAATTTTTGTGGGATTATTTTTTTTTAATTAGTAATGTATGTTTCTTCTCTTGTTTCAGAGTGATCACAGCCCTTTCAAAATAATTCAGCAATAAATACTGGGAATATTCTCATCATCAAGGCTAGAAGTGCATCTGAACACGCAGGAGACACTCCAGGTGAATCTGTGTGCCGTACTAGAGTAAAGATGGACTTTATTAAAGAGGAGATTGAAGACATGACTGATCCAGAACCATCCAGAATAAAACATGAAGATACTGAGGAACAAACAGGTTGGTGTCCATTCTTGATTCTTCATTGTTGACGCTTTGGTAGATGTGAATTAATAAGCAGAATATGGATGATAAATGATATACATCCAAATGATCATAACCTTGTACAACAGTTGTCAAACATATTTACTATATTAACAATGAATGAACGAAATATAAGTGAAAGATCTGATCTCTGTTGTTTTCTGCTATTAAATAAGGGTTCACTTGAACTGATTCTAACTGTATTTCTGTGTGTTTTAGACCAGGTGAGAGTGAAAGAGGAAAGACAAGAAATGAATGAAATGGAGGAGGAACATCGTAACTTTACAATTCAAAGAACAAAAGCCAAAAAGACGCACACCTGCACTCAGTGTGGAAAGAGTTTCTCACAGAAAGGAAACCTTAACACACACATGAGAATTCACACGGGAGAGAAATCGTATACATGCACTCAGTGTGGAAAGAGTTTCACACAGAACGGAGACCTTAAAACACACTTGAGAATTCACACTGGAGCAAAACCGTATACATGCACTCAGTGTGGAAAGAGTTTTACTCAATCATCAGGTCTCAGTGATCATCTGCGCATTCACTCTGGAGAAAAGCCATTTAACTGTGATCAGTGTGGTAAAAATTTTAGTTCATCATCAAATCTAAAATCACACCTGAAAGTTCATTCAGATGAGAAGCCTTATGTGTGTTCTCTCTGTGGAAAGAGTTTTTCACGGCTGGATCATTTGAAACTGCACCAGAAAACACACAATGAACTGAGAGATTATATGTGCTTTGACTGTGGGAAGAGCTTTACTAGATCTGATCATCTGAATCGGCACCAAATAATTCATACTGGAGAAAGACCTTACAAGTGCTCATATTGTGACAAGAGTTTCACTCATTCTGGATCTCTGAAATCACACGAGCGAATTCACACTGGAGAGAAGGCGTACGACTGTACTCAGTGTGGGAAGAGTTTCACCCGATCAAGTAGTCTAGGGACTCATATTAGAAAGCATTGTTCTACGTCACAGTGAACAAATATTTTGTTAGATTCACATAAAGTAAATGTGTAGTTAGTGTTGGGGAATTTTAATCTCACATGTATTACATATGATCATTGGGTCTTGAGTTTCTATCTGTTTACCTCCTACAGTATATGTAATAACAGAGGAATGTCTTTTAGTTTTGTTATCTGTGAAGGAGGTAATTTGTCTTTCTGTTATCAAGAGTGGAGTGAGGTACCAGAGAACTGGACGGGTCAGAGGTCATCTTAGACTGGGGAGGATAGAGGGGGTTAGCGGTAAATCTAACCTAGCATTTGAATCCATTGCTTGTGGAATTTTACAGGGCTTCTGGGCGTCACTCTCTTCACAGTGTACCAATCTGTGTTAGCGACTGGGCCTATTCTTGCAAGAATAAACTTCTCTTTTCTTTTATTAATTTGACTCTGAAGTGTCTCTTACGCAGCGATGTCTGTTTATTGAATTTTTGCCTTAACATTAGTTAACTAATAAACTTAGCCTGGATGCCAGCCCGAACTCCGCCCACAACATTTTTTGGTCGGGAAGTTCGGTCTGGACTCGATCTATTGAGGACTAATTTTGATCAAGCAAAAAATGATCGGGCCAATCAAATTGCCAGGGCGGGCTTTAAACGATGATGGACAGGTGATCTGCAGGGACGTAATCATCACGTTATCAAAGAGCGCGTGTCAAAGATGACATCAGCTGGAGAATTGAGATGTATAGATTCCGCTGTAAAATAAATCGACAGCGCATTAATTTTAATAGACAAACAGAGAACTGCAATCAAGGTATTTGTCGATCGGAAAGATATTTTTGGCGTCCTTCCAACATGATTCGGGAAAAGTGTAACTTATCAGCTGGCTCTGACGGTCGCTAAGAAGATGGGACGTAATGAAAAGCCTGTGGTCGTTGTGGTTTCTCCTTTGGTCGCATTCATAGAGGAGTAAGTAAAAGAAGCAACAATCGTTATTTAACTTCTAAAATAAATAAAGTTAGGCTACGTTCTTTAGTTGACAACTGTATGCAAAGTAGCTGACTTACCGCGTTGCTCTGATTGGTTGTAGGTTTATCGACTATCCAATTGAGTGCAGAGTTGTTGTTTTTCCTGATTCGGTTAAGACACGCCTCATAATCAAAGCCATACGGAGGAGTTTCACTCATCTTCTGACAATGTTACTAATACATACTGGAGTTTGTTAAAGTGGAGAATGAGGACGTCAGTTATCCAGAAACATGCAAAATAAAACAAAATACTGAAGAACAAACATTCTCGATTCTTCATTATTAATGACTACTGAGGAATATTTTTAATCATATATCATATCAAAGGTTACATTTATTGTTGTTACTTTTAGCTTTTGTATTTGATTTAATTTAGATGATTTAATATGTTCCCTTTTAGACTTGATGGAAGTAAAAGTGGAAAGGGAAGAACTAAATGAAGAAAGAAACCACACAGTTTTGTGCAAAAAGGGAATCTGACGAATCACATAATTCACAGTGGAAAGAAACCATTTCATAACTATAAAGATAAAAAAAATTGTGCAGTGTCCCTCAAACAATCTAATAATAAAATAAATACCACAACAGACCAGAATATTGCCTCAGCATGTCCAGTATAATGATAAAATGAAGCTGTGTCTAGATGTACATGTATAAAGAAAAACCTGCGGCTCACATTATTTAAAATAATTTGCTTTGTTTGTTGTTCAATGGAAAATACGTTTTCAAACAAATGCATTAAATGGAAATATGTAGGCATATGTTAATACTTGTTCGTGGTACCTTTTCTAATAAAGAAATTAAACAAACAAACAAAAAGCAAAAAAGTTCATTTGTAAACAAAATTATGTACCTATTCTCTGAGAGTCAAATGTTGCTTTTGTCCCTTTACTTGCTGTGAAATGGCAAAAAAGAAAAAAAAAGAATGGTTTGATTTTTCAGATTTAGAGGAAACCATCTCCATAAATAGTTTAATCACACGGTTCAAACTGTGTTTGTTTTCTTGCTGTGTGTGTTTAACGCATCACCGGAGATTTATCTTGTGGATTTTTTGTTTGTTATTTGGTCTTACTATATTTAAACTATAATACTTTGTTTGTAGACTGAACTACAAAAGTGTATTTTGGTCTTTAAGGTTTCGGTTTTCGGAGTCATTCAGCGCCTCCTGGAGGAAGAATTGAGTGTTTGCTGCTCAATGCGACACTCGCATGCGCCGTACGGCAGATGTTTACTACAGTTCTGAACACGTTTGCGGCGGCAACACGGCAGTGGACAGCGTGAGGATCTTTTGTAAACAAATGCGAAATTAATTTATGTCTGTTTAATATTTAGTGTTTAGGTTTTAATTATAGCAATAAGTAATTATAATTATAAGCACATGACTGCATTTCTTTTTTTGCACCACAGAACCGAGAATATCGTGTAATTCGTCTGAGCAAAGTTTATTTTCAATGAATGTCGGATTTACCTCATTAATCACGTTGGTCATCAATTTATGTCCTGCTTTTTTATAAAATAACATATATTTGAGTGTTTTTAAGCCTAAATTTAACTTGTTTCCTGTTATTCCATGCTATTTTTCGGTAGGAATAATACACTATTTTTATTTTTTAAATATTTCTTCGACTGTAGATTAAATAAAGAACTGCTTTATTTTAGTTTCATTCATTTTCATTATATTGTTCCTAGAGCATAAGAGCATTTTATTCACCAGTCAGTTAAATGTAGACAAACATGAAGATCGGTTGTTATTTATATATAATGCTGAATTTTTAAATTTACATTACTTCGTTACAGTTTCTTCAAAATGTTGTTGATATCTGAGGAATCTCCGAATGAGTTATAATGAAGAAAGATAATAACTTTTGTGGAATTGTTTTTTTTTTTTTTTAAATCAGTAATTTATGTTTCTTCTCTTGTTTCAGAGTGATCACAGCCCTTTCAAAATAATTCAGCAATAAATGCTGGGAATATTCTCATCATCAAGGCTAGAAGTGCATCTGAACACGCAGGAGACACTCCAGGTGAATCTGTGTGCCGTACTAGAGTAAAGATGGAGTTTATTAAAGAGGAGATTGAAGACATGACTGATCCAGAACCATCCAGAATAAAACATGAAGATACTGAGGAACAAACAGGTTGGTGTCCATTCTTGATTCTTCATTGTTGATGCTTTGATAGATGTGAATTAATAAGCAGTATATGGATGATACATGATATACATCCAAATGATCATAATAACCTTGTATATAACAGTTGTCAAACATGTTTATTATATTAACCCTTGTGCATCAATTAAAAAAAGTTACACATAGGTAAAAAGAGGACAAAAATGTCCATGTCAAAAAACTGTCATAAAAATGTGACGCTTTGGAGCACAGACTTAAGTTTGGTATCATTTTAAAGACGACCCATTGCAGAGTATTGCTGAAGTAAAAAAATAATAATAAGTAAATTTAAAAAAAAAGTTATATAGGTACAAGTTTATGAAAATTATTTATTAAAAAATATTTTATATAAAATATATATAAATCAGGTTGAACTCAAAACTGCAATAAAATTAAAGCAATAAATCTAAATAGATTGTTTTCCTAATTTGAGGATGATATCTCAAAAAATGAGCTTTCGGTAACAGTTTGTTTGGGCGTAGTAACATATTTTTCCCATTGGGTGCCAGCAAAACCCCACTGGAGCTCACAGTGATTGGATTAGTTATTTGCAGTTTTTCTCTCTCAGTCTTACAGACACACACATGCACACACACACATATATTTTTTATAACACACATACTAACCACACTCTGACATCCATACCAACACACCCACACAAATATTGTTGCATAATTTATCCAGTTTGCTCTGTAGTATGCGAACCAGAAAACAGGAATAAAGCGATATTTGTTTTATAGGCCAAACTTAAAAAAAATGACACCATCTGATAAAAAATAGTAAAAAATAACATTTTGAAACCTTGCCATCAGAATGAAAGCCTCTTAACAAAGATTGCATAATTTTATAGTTAACTGAACCGGGGATTAAAAATGGCAGTTTTAATGGGTTTCAATGGGGACATTTTTGACCAAAAGGTGCTGAGAGGGAGTATTTTTTGTACCTAATGCAAAAAAATATTTTTTAAAGAAAATGACGGTGAAATAATAAAATTCCAATAAAAATACACACCTGTGCCAAATTTTTTGCAGTTAGCTTTAACACAGGCAAAGTGATCAAAAAAACAAAACTGAAAAGGACAAAAATGTCCATAAGGATGCACAAGGGTTAACAATGAATGAATAAATAACAAGTGAAAGATCTGATCTCTGTTGCTTTCTGCTATTAATTAAGGGTTCACTTGAACTGATTCTTCACAGATAATGTGTTTCTGTGTGTTTTAGACCAGGTGAGAGTGAAAGAGGAAAGACAAGAACAGAATGAAGTGGAGGAGGAACATCGTAACTTTACAATTCAAAGAACAAAAGCCAAAAAGACGCACACCTGCACTCAGTGTGAAAAGAGTTTCAGAGAGAAAAGATACCTTAACTCACACGTGAGAATTCACACTGGAGAGAAACCGAATACATGCACTCAGTGTGGAAAGAGTTTCACACAGAAAGGACACCTTAACTCACACATGAGGATTCACACTGGAGCAAAACCATATACATGCACTCAGTGTGGAAAGAGTTTTGCTCAAGCATCAACTCTCAGTTATCATCTGCGCATTCACTCTGGAGAAAAGCCATTTAACTGTGATCAGTGTGGTAAAGATTTTATTTCATCATCAAATCTACTCCAACACCTGAAAGTTCATTCAGATGAGAAGCCTTATGTGTGTTTTCTCTGTGGAAAGAGTTTTTCACGGCTGAAAAGTTTTAAACAGCACCAGAAAACACACAATGAAGTGAAAGATTATTTGTGCTTTGACTGTGGGAAGAGCTTTAAAATATCTGATCATCTGAAACGGCACCAAAGAATTCATACTGGAGAAAGACCTTACAAGTGCTCATACTGTGACAAGAGATTCACTCATTCTGGACACCTGAAAGAACACGAGCGACTTCATACTGGAGAGAAGCCGTACTACTGTACTCAGTGTGGAAAGAGTTTCACCCGATCAAGTAGTCTAGTGACTCATATTAGAAAGCATTGTTCTGTGTCACAGTGAGCAAATGTTTTGTTAGATTCACATAAAGTAAATGTGTAGTTAGTTAACTAATAAACTTAGCCTGGATGCCAGCCCGAACTCCGCCCACAACATTTTTTGGTCGGGAAGTTCGGTCTGGACTCGATCCATTGAGGACTAATTTTGATCAGGCAAAAAATGATCGGGCCAATCAAATTGCCAGGGCGGGCTTTAAACGATGATGGACAGATGATCTGCAGGGACGTAATCATCACGTTATTAAAGAGCGCGTGTCAAAGATGACTTCAGCTGGAGAATTGAGATTTATAGATTCCGCTGTAAAATAAATCGACAGCGCATTAATTTTAATAGACAAACAGAGAACTGCAATCAAGGTATTTGTCGATCGGAAACATATTTTTGGCGTCCTTCCAACATGATTCGGGAAAAGTGTAACTTATCAGCTGGCTCTGACGGTCGCTAAGAAGATGGGACGTAATGAAAAGCCTGTGGTCGTTGTGGTTTCTCCTTTGGTCGCATTCATAGACGAGTAAGTAAAAGAAGCGACACTCGTTATTTAACTTCTAAAATAAATAAAGTTAGGCTACGTTCTTTAGTTGACAACTGTATGCAAAGTAGCTGACTTACCGCGTTGCTCTGATTGGTTGTAGGTTTACCGACTATCCAATTGAGTGCAGAGTTGTTGTTTTTCCTGATTCGGTTAAGACACGCCTCATAATCAAAGCCCTACGGAGGAGTTTCACTCATCTTCTGACAGAAGTATTTTTTTTTTTATATGTTAGAGAACAAGAATATTATTGAAAATGATTTTAATTGAACACTTACTCAAAGAAATAAATAAAAAATACCTAAATGAAAAGAGACTTGAAGGAAATGCAGAAAAACAACAATCAGGTGCCTCGTTAATCTCCAAAGTGGGTTCCTCACAAATTTGCTCATCCAATTACAGTTAATAATACAGATGAATAATTCTTGATGCTGTAGACGTGTGTACCCCAGTCTGCAGCTGTGTTTATAAAACATCCAGTGGCAAAGAAGCGTAGAGCTAGACAAAGGGATGCTAAAATGTCTTGAAGTTTCAGGCCTCAAATTCTCCTCCATGTCAATTGCTAGTTGTTGTTTTGCATGTCTTGGAAACCTTAGCTTCTCCAGCAGTTCATTTTCAGAAAGGACTTCTAATGGGTTTGAACGTTCTTTGCAAACTCTTTCTCGTATTATTGCGCTTTCATAAAAGCAAATATTCACCCTGGCAGGGGTTTTCAAAAAATTTCGGTTTCAGTGTGGACGAACGGTGTTCTGTCGATCTGTCCTACCTTGTCAGATTTTCCTACCGTAGCGCAAAATTATAGCCATATCTATCGGTTCATCCTACCTCGTCGTAAAATCCTACTGAGCGTTTACTTCGCGTCTGTGACTAGTAGCCTACATAAAATATTTCAGTGTAACTTTGCCGAATTTTCTTATTAGGCTATGTTACGGTGATTTTACATTGAAAAGTAAGTTACCTCTTCAGATTGTCCTATGAAATAAACGGTAGGATGATTTTACGTTGCAAAATACCTCATCAGATTGTGCTACCAGTATGAAATAAACGAGTAGTATGATTTTACAGTGCAAAATGCCTCATCAGATTGTCCTACCAGTATGAAATAAACGAGTAGTATGATTTTACAGTGCAAAATGCCTCATCAGATTGTCCTACCAGTATGAAATAAACGAGTAGTATAATCATAATATCATAATCATATAATCGTGTGTTTATATTTTACACCAAACAATCAAATCAATTCGCCGCCAATTCATCAATTTAATGTGAGAGTAAACAGTTCTCATTACTGCTATTATATCTTTGTATAGTAATAATTGACATAAATAGTGAAAAAAGATCTCGCGCAAGTAGTAAAATATTATGGGCGTGTTGTTCAGCGTGACAAAAATGACGTATTATTGATGTGCGCATGCGCAGTAAGACTTGGTAGGACAATGGCTGCGTTCCAAACCGCATACTCAATGAGTAGGTACTTAATTTCAATAAGTACTTACTCATCGAGCGCTAAAAGAGTAGGTACTTTATAGCCAAATCTCGTTGAGTATGAATGCGAACCGGACATCTGCCATGTTGACGTTATCATGTGACCTACTACGCGTTATCACAAGCGCAACACCTTCATGCAATAAAAAAAAAATATGAACGATACGTTTAATTAATCTACCTATAAATATCTTGATATTGATGAAACTTGCTCATTTTGTTGTGGTATTGTTGAAGAAACAGCTGCCTATTTATTTTGTGAATACATTTAGGGTTGATTTAAGTTGTTATATTTTAAACCCTACTGACCAACAGTGTTATTCTAACGATACATTTTTTTTATTAAGAAACCCCAAAATCATCATCTCTTGATTATGTTGTTAATTTCTTTATTTTATACCCAAAAAGTTTCTCCTTTAAGTTTTCCTTTTTCTTCATGAATTTACCTCGTTTCATCCCTCAGATATAACAACTTTTTTATGTATTATGAAGAACTATAATGAAGATATTTAGCCTTTTTTATTGTTCTTATTTCCTGTGTATAAATATAATTTTATGTCATATTATGTACACAAACCAATGATCTTTATATTTTCTGTTTTGTCACTATGATTGTTACATAAACTATAGTATCTTTCCATGATCTTGCATATAATACGTTTAAATTATATGAGCGACAGGTGCTCTAACACTTCATAACATCAGTAACTTCACAGCACAACCTAGAACAGCGTTTGTAATGTCTGCACAAAGGAGACGGGCAGCTGCTTGAAGATCTCTTTTGGAGAAAACTGTTGATTTTATACTCCAAAAATGTAAGTATCACTGCTTAAAAATTAATATTACCTCAGAATGAATTTCATTGTTAGCCCACCCCAAAACTTAAACAAAATAATAATATTAAATGCTGACCAATACTTATATAACTTTTTATATACTAAAAATATAATTTAATAAAACAAGCAAAATGTAATTTGTTTTGTAATATGACAGTAATGCATGAATTCATTTATATTGCTAAATGCAGTGAAACATCTCAATTGTCAGTCAATCGATGAATTAATGCATAAATTAATTACATTTTATATACTGACAACAATAAGAAACATGAATAAATGAGTAAAAGAACAAATAAAAGTAAATAAAAGTAACCATCACAATAAACAAATGCATATACAAGTCAACACATGAAACAGCTTTATTCAAACTACAAGCATGTATTTACAGGCACTGAACCCCAAACCCTACTGCCGACTCAACACAGCGGTTCCCATTCATTGATGACAGCATTCAGCATCATGAGCCTCTCTCCACCGGATAAACAGACGCGTGTTCTCCTGTCCCTGTAACATGCAGACAAGATTCACATTACGAGCTCAACACTGCATTTACATGTTGAGGTTGATGTGTTAACTCACTTTTAATCCAACTTAAATGTTCCTCAATATATCAACACCAATAAGGGACAAATTAAATATATATCATGTTTAGTTACTTTATATATGTTTTTATTCACAGCACATAATTTTTCTAATGTAAGCAGTGTTGACAACAGTGAATTATCCTACATAATAGCACACACATGTATTTTTCATGTTGGGATGTGCTCACCTGCAATACTTATACAATATTTTCCTTCCTGATGTAAATAGACATTTTAAATAAGCGTTTTTAAGATGTATGGTTATGTAAATACACGTTGGAAACGTAACTTTACGGTTACTGGAGCTCCCCTGTTATCAATACATAATAAAACGTGTTTACAGCAAAATCACAACTATACTATACTGTCTAACTCCTTTAGACGTTCAACAGTTAAAACGTTTACTCTATAGTAGTTTAACACATACGATTTAAACCGTATTTACTCACATTTGAAAACCCCCGCGTCGCTTATCTCCGCGATGTTGATATTGACGTATCCTCTCGCGTGGCCTCCTGGGATAGATGAGTATCATGAGTAGCCGTGGAAAAGCACTCAAAAATCTGGGCGGAAGCAGTAAGCCATCCGGGAACTTCTCGCCTACTCTTTTTATGAAAACTGATGTTTGGAACGTACTGCTTCCTTCACGTACTGTTTTCGCCTACTATATAGTAGGAAAGTAGGCATATTGGAACGCACTTAAGTCCGAATCTCGCGACAATTGCTACGTCACCCAGGTAATTCTCGCCTACTCTTTTGGATTCATTCATACTTTTTTGCTCGCCTACTCTTTTTCCCATACTAAATAGTAGGGAAGTATGCGGTTTGGAACGCAGCCAATCTGACGGGTAGGATGGAATGTCAGAACAACGGCATAAAAATACCTGTGTCCGTGTGGACATGGCCTGAGTTAAAAAGTAAATAAATACCAGTCTGAAAGAAAAAGAAAAATTAGACGACTAACTTGCAAGATTAATCTTAAATAGATTTATGCAACCGTCCGCAGATGTAACAATAATTGAAATCTATGTGACATACTATGGTAAATAAATGTTCCTAATACATACTATGGAGTTTGTTAAAGTGGAGAATGAGGACGTCAGTTATCCAGAAACATGCAAAATAAAACAAAATACTGAAGAACAAACATTCTCGATTCTTCATTATTACTGACTACTGAGGAACATTTTTCATCATATATATTATATCATATCATCAAAGATTACATTTATTGCTGTTACTTTTAGCTTTTGTATTTGATTTAATTTAGATTATTTAATATGTTCCCTTTTAGACTTGATGGAAGTAAAAGTGGAAAGGGAAGAACTAAATGAAGAAAGAAACCACTTCACTTTCACTTGCTCTCGGTGTGAAAAAAGTTTTGTGCAAAAAGGGAATCTTACGAATCACATAATTCACAGTGGAAAGAAACCATTTCATAACTATAAAGATTAAAAAAAAGTGCATTGTCCCTCAAACAATCTAATAATAAAATAAATACCAAAACAGACCAGAATATTGCCTCAGCATGTCCAGTATAATGATAAAATGAAGCTGTGTCTAGATGTACATGTATAAAGAAAGACCTGCTGCTCACATTATTTAAAATAATTTGCTTTGTTTGTTGTTCAATGGAAAATACGTTTTCAAATAAATGCATTAAATGGAAATATGTAGGCATATGTTAATACTTGTACATGGTCCCTTTTCTAAAACAAAAACAAAAAAGAATGGTTTGATTTTTCAGATTTAGAGGAAACTATCTCCATAAATAGTTTAATCACACGGTTCAAACTGTGTTTGTTTTCTTACTGTGTGTGTTTTAACGCATCACTGGAGATTTATCTTGTGGAATTTTTGTTTGTTATTTGGTCTTACTATATTTAAACTATAATACTTTGTTTGTAGACTGAACTACAAAAGGATATTTTGGTCTTTTAAGGTTTCGGTTTTCGGAGTCATTCAGCGCCTCCTGGAGGAAGAATTGAGTGTTTGCTGCTCAATGCGACACTCGCATGCGCCGTACGGCAGATGTTTACTACAGTTCTGAACACGTTTGCGGCGGCAACACGGCAGTGGACAGGGTGAGATCTTTTGTAAACAAATGCGAAATTAATTTATGTCTGGTTAATATTTAGTGTTTAGGTTTAATTATATCAATAAGTAATTATAATTATAAGCACATGACTGCATTTCTATTGCACCACAGAACCGAGAATATCGTGTAATTCGTCTGAGCAAAGTTTATTTTCAATACATACATGAAGGTCGGATTTACCTCATTAATCACGTTGGTCATAAATTTATGTCCTGCTTTCTTATAAAATAACATATATTTGAGTGTTTTTAAGCCTAAATTTAACTTCTTTCCTGTTATTCCATGCTATTTTTCGGTAGGAATAATACACTATTTTTATTTTTTAAATATTTCTTCGACTGTTGATTAAATAAAGAACCGCTTTATTTTAGTTTTATTCATTTTCATTATATTGTTCCTAGAGCATAAGAGCATTTTATTCACCAGTCAGTTAAATGTAGACAAACATGAAGATCGGTTGTTATTTATATATAATGCTGAATTTTTAAATTTACATTACTTCGTTACAGTTTCTTCAAATTGTTGTTGATATCTGAGGAATCTCAGAATGAGTTATAATGAAGAAAGATAATAACTTTTGTGGATTTTTTTTTTTTTAATCGGTAATTTATGTTTCTTCTCTTGTTTCAGAGTGATCACAGCCCTTTCAAAATAATTCAGCAATAAATACTGGGAATATTCTCATCATCAAGGCTAGAAGTGCATCTGAACACGCAGGAGACACTCCAGGTGAATCTGTGTGCCGTACTAGAGTAAAGATGGACTTTATTAAAGAGGAGATTGAAGACATGAGTGATCCAGAACCATCCAGAATAAAACATGAAGATACTGAGGAAGAAATAGGTTGGTGTCCATTCTTGATTCTTCATTGTTGATGCTTTGGTAGATGTGAATTAATAAGCAGTATATGGATGATAAATGATATACATCCAAATGATCATAACCTTGTATATAGCAGTTATATAACAAACTAGTGAGACAAACACTACAGCGAGATGGCTGCATACACAAGCACCGTGGCCACTGGTCAGTAGCGGAGTGGCATTCCGGAGAGACGGGACTTTTCCAAGTGGGCCGCAAGTGTTTCGAGGCCGCGAGTGCCGGTCTGATAGTTATACATTACAAGTTCTTGGCAAGACCATCCGGCGGCATGTACACAATAGTCTCTGCAACGACGATCGATTGAAGTGCGAGTCCGAGTGAAGATGGTGCGTCCAAATCATAGACTGTAAAAAATAAATCCAAATCCACTGATAGATAACAGATAACAGCGGAAAAGAGCGCTCCACTTGATTTAAAAAACAACAAATCTTAACGCTAGATCTCTTATTTTATTGCGAACTAAATTGATTCTCTGCTAGTTAACTGGAGATGTTTTCCAGTTACTTTCCAGAACTTTCCCCCCAACTTTAATAGATGGCATAAACAATTTGCAAGCTGCTAAAATAAAGCATACGAAACATCAGCTAAAATGATCCATAGGCTATTATAATCAGAGCATGTGGATGTTTGTCAGTGATTTTTTTATATTAGGTTAGTACAGAATTTAAAGAGCACAGACCTACGCAAATGAGGTGGATGTGAAACACCTTGTAAGAAATACTTTTCCTTTTCAGGAAAATTGTCAAAATCGCAATACTTGACTTGGTATCGGTATCTAAACAATAATTTTGGTATCGTGACAACACTGTCAAACATTTTTACTATATTAACATTGAATGACAGAGCAAAAAGTGAAAGATCTTTGTTGTTTCCTGCTAATAAATAAGGGTTCACTTGAACTGATTCTAACTGTATTTCTGTGTGTTTTAGACCAGGTGAGAGTGAAAGAGGAAAGACAAGAACTGAATGAAGTGGAGGAGGAACATCATAACTTTACAATTCAAAGAACAAAAGCCAAAAAGACGCACACCTGCACTCAGTGTGGAAAGAGTTTCACACATAAAGGACACCTTAAAACACACATGAGAATTCACACTGGAGAGAAACCGTATCCATGCACTCAGTGTGGAAAGAGTTTCAAACGTAAAGGAGACCTTAACTCACACATGAGAATTCACACTGGAGAAAAAACGCATACATGCACTCAGTGTGGAAAGAGTTTCACACATAAAGGAAACCTTAACACACACATGAGAACTCACACTAAAGAGAAACCGTATACATGCACTCAGTGTGGAAAGAGTTTCAAACGTAAAGGAGATCTTAACACACACATGAGAATTCACACTGGAGAGAAAACGTATACATGCACTCGGTGTGGAAAGAGTTTCACACATAAAGGAAACCTTAACACACACATGAGAACTCACACTGGAGAGAAACCGTATACATGCACTCAGTGTGGAAAGAGCTTTTCTCATGCATCAACTCTCAGTGCTCATCTGCTCATTCACTCTGGAGAAAAGCCATTTAACTGTGATCAGTGTGGTAAAGATTTTATTTCATCATCAAAACTAAAAGATCACCTAAACATTCATTTAGGTGAGAGGCCTTATGTGTGTTCTCTCTGTGGAAAGAGTTATTCAAGGCAGGACAGTTTTAAACAGCACCAGAAAACACACAAATTGATATATCATTTGTGCTTTGACTGTGGGAAGAGCTTTACTACATCTTTTCATCTGAAACTGCACCAAAGAATTCATACTGGAGAAAAACCTTACAAGTGCCCACAGTGTGACAAGAGTTTCGCTGAGTCTGGATACCTGAAATTACACAAGCGATTTCACACTGTAGTGAAGCCGTACGACAATTCTAGTAGTCTAGTGACTCATATTAGAAAGCATTGTTCTGTGTCACAGTGAGCAAATGTTTTGTTAGATTCACATAAAGTAGCCTAAATGTGTAGTTAGTTAACTAATAAACTAGTGTTGCTGTGAAATACCATGAGATTAGTGTTTTATAAGTTTGAGAACAAGAATATTATTGATGTAGACCCTGAATTGATGTATCGTTTCTTTTGTGTTCTGCTAGCAGAAATATAGTAGCTATGTCCTGAAATATGGGCCAGGTCAATTGTCCCTGGAAACAACTTTTCTTTTTTCTTTTTGTATTAATATGTGTTTATAAAATGTGAGGTGTTGAAATATCCTCTGTTGTGAGTAGCCCTTGAACCTCCCTGGTCATCACAGTCCCGCCCACAGCCGGTGCCGGAAGTAAAAATTCAATACAGATTCTCCATTGACATTTGAGATACAAGCCATAAAAACGTAACCATACATGGTAGACTTAAAACCAGCTACGGCTGTACTAAGCGATTGTATATGCTCATATAAATGCCAAACGTTCATGGGGCACTATAACCTTGTTTTAAGATAAATGCCTTTTATTCGCGATGTATTGGCTAAGTACTTCATTACCCACAATCCCGCAGTGATGCATCTGATTGGTGGAAGTCGTGTCACGTGTCCAAAACCCCGCGAAGGTACGTGAAGACTGAAGATCATGACGTAGGGCTAAAGTTTATTGGTCGGACCTCTGAGGCGCCCCCGCGCCATTGGATGTTCAGTTGCGCAGCCCAGCCAATGAGCGAGCCAGATGCTCAATGTTTTAGCATGTGCATAAGCTTCAGTAAATCGATGGAAAGGAGTTTCCCTGCACATTCACTATATAAAATTCACTTTGAGGAAAAAGTTCACGTGGCCGCCGTCAGATTTGGAAGTCACTCAAAAGGCTTTCACTGTGGCTTCAGTCAACTTTAGTGAGTCACGGTGGTTTATGGGAGGAGTAGTTCCCTTTTTTTATTTTATCTTTGTTTTTTCACTCGAAATGATATGTTGTATGCGTATGAGTTATCCTCAGACATGCTCTAAAACTCTTTAGATATGGATTTTAAAAAATGTCAATGGGAGAAATGAATGGGAAATTTACTTCCGGCAGCAGCGCTCCCTCGGGCTGTGGGCGGGATACTGTGATGCTCTATTGGGTGGCCAGGTGTCAGTTTTGTTTATTATCCAATCAGGTTTTTGTGGGGGCGGGACTAAAAGAGAAAATGCGCAAAGGCGGAAAAATATTTAAAAGCTAGTTAAGTTAGTTAGTTGTAAGTTCTTTATTATTGATTACATTAATAGTACATTAATTATTGGGTATGTACAATAAAAATGCATACACACAATCTTATCACTGACTCGGAAACCTTTATTTATTATACAAGCACCACTTACCCTGTAACCACATGACACACCAGTTGTGTCAGATTAAACGTGATTTAATGACTCGTAAATGTATGTAAATGTAAAAAAACAAAGACACCTACATCTTGGATGCCATTGAGGTAAGCTAAAACATATCAAAAATTAATTTCAAAGTGAACTGTTCCTTTATTTTTTTTTTTTATAAATGTTCAAATAGACATAACAGTTAGGCATATAAACAAAAACAAAAAAAAACTTTTGTGGCAGATAAACAAAAACAAAAAAACTTTTTTTTGTCCTATTTAAGATATTTTTTAAATTGCCTTAGTGGTGTACGTAACCTGATCAGAAAATATGAGAAGCGCCATGGCATTTTGTATATAATTAAAATGAAAAGTGATGCATAGAGAACTGAACTGGCTTCTAGTAACATCAAGATGAATAAAAAGCACTTTTATATTATTGGAGTATTTTTTTCAGTGCTGATGAAAATATAAAAGTTTAAACACATTTTTGCTTAAATAACACTTTGTAATTTTTATACTGCGTCTTACAAGACTTGCAAAACCAAAATCTAGTGTTGAGGGACCTATTAACTGAGTAAAGGAAATAATATGTAGGAAGTATAATCAACAAATGTGCACTTATAATGTATAAATAATGTTTTTTTGTGCTAACGTTTTGAGATAACTTGAGTAAACATGTCTCTGGAAGAATGTTTTTTCCCCAAAGGGGCGAGCCCGATTTGTGTGAGAGCAGATCCGGAGGTGCAAGACTCGATCTGTGAAAGCCTCACACTACCAGATAGTCTGCGCCGAACATCGGAACCGATCGAGGTAATCAACAACATTTTTCTCAGATTCTCTTGAGGGGAAAATCGGGCATAAATCAGCCTGAAACTCCGTAGCCCTCAAACCGTATTCACTTTATAGCCCTCAATCCTGTAATTGTGGACAAATGTGGGCACAAAGGACACAGGTGTGATCCTAATTTTTATTTATTATAAATTTTATATCACTGTCTTCGATAAAGTTTTTTCTATCCATTTATGGTGTTTTTTTTTATTTTGGGGGTATTTTTGAATTTATTTACTTCAAAAAGTACCATATTTTCTATGTAAATTATTTCTATGTAAATTATGCTTATTTTTATGTTTTATTATTTTTTTTTAACTACATTAAAATATCATTCTAATAAGTTCTTAGAGCTAAAACCTAAAGATGAAGTGACTTTGCCGTCACCTGGTGTCTTATTTTGGCTTATTTTAGAATCCTCTAAATTACAGTTATTCCCATTCATTTCTATGGGTGCCCATTTTTGACCCAAATACAAGATTAAGGAGTTGTTTTTTATCACCCACTTAACATTGTAGAATTGAGTAAAAAAAAATTGTGTGTTCAGGAGGCAAACTTAGGAAAAGTAGCCAAGTCTTGTACCGCTCAGATCAAGGGAAGTATTTTTTAAAAAATAAATCAAAACTATTTTGCCCACATTTGTCCAGAATACGGTTTTAGGGTTAAGTGAGAGACACATGATGTCAGGATGTGATAACTCCTGTCAGATCTGCCGGTAACTCCTGTTGTGGCAAAAATTCTGTTAAAATCATCACTGCGTAAGAGACACTCAGTATTTATTCTTGCAAAAATAGGTTCAGTCTAGTACACAAAAGTTATACTAGAGAGTGACAAACCTACGTGACAAAGAGATGAGACAGCCTTTATACACTTTTCAAAGTTCCTCTTCACCCGCTGAACCTTTCACCCATCCAGATAAGGTTCAGTCTCTACTTAAGGACACAAACTGGTATTGAAATAAACTAGAGCCAGACCGATATATCGGATATTAGGCATTTTCCATAATATCGGTATCGGCAGTTATAATGCCCAATAAATGAATATTTAAAAAATAAAATAAAAACGGTCGAAACGCGCTTCAATCATCTCTCCTTGGCCTGTTATATTGAAAATGTATGTTTTACAATTTGCAGTATGATGTCATCTATTGCTAAATTATGGCTCATCATAGACTAGCGAACCACAAAGCAGGCTAAAGACTGCTAACGTTAACATTAATGAGCTTGGAAACCACACTGAACTTTTTCTGCCTAAATAAAGTAATGATTACTGTATTTATAACTAGCATATCTCTAGATACAGTCCCTGCATTGTAAAATGCAAGTTAGACTTGCGAGGAGTGAACAATTAGACATAGAGAAAAAGTATCAAACGTATCTTGTGCAGAAAAGTTCGCTTTTCTTTTACACAAGTGTGAAATCCAACAATATTTAATAATAAAATTTTTTAAAAAACATCGGCCGATATATCGGATTTTAAAACCCAAAAATATTCGTATCGGTATCGGCCTTCAAAATCCTTTAAACTCATGGAATAACACCAATGCCTGGGAGAAACATATGAAGAGTTCAGATGTGCCATTTGAAATTTTCTTCTAAAATGATCAATTTTATCAAACTTGTATATTTAAGTTCAGTAATTTCACTTAAATGGCAATTAATAGGTAATCTTCATTGCCATTTAAGTGAAATTACTGAACTTAAATATACAAGCTTGATAAAAATGATCATTTTAGAAGAAAATTTCAAATGGCACTTAGAGGCTTTTGCATCTGAACTCTTCATTTAGACATAGAGAAAAAGTATCAAACGTATCTTGTGCAGAAAAGTTCGCTTTTCTTTTACACGAGTGTGAAATCCAACAATATTTAATAATAATAATAAAAAAAAACATCAGCCGATATATCGGATTTTAAAACCCAAAAATATTTGTATCGGTATTGGCCTTCAAAATCCTTTAACCTGTTAACTGTCACCCCCCCCCCCTTTTTTTTTAATAGACATGAAAATGCACATTTCGAACTTAAATGGTTGTAATTCAAGAATGCTTTGGAATATAGACATATGATTGGTCTTGTTTTAAAGAAGACATTTGGTAGATTTTTGTAGAAGTGAAATAAATTAAGAAAGTGAAACAGAAAAAAAGTTATAGAAGTTTGAGTTTATGGAAATGTACAATGTAAAAATATTAATTATTCATATTTTACATAAAATATATATTTTCAAAACCTGGGCTACTCTAAAATGTCAGAAAGATCAAAGCCAAAAATCTGAACAAGTTGTGTTTCAAATTTTAGGTTGAGATCTCAAAAAATGAGCTTTCAGTAAGATTTTGTTTGAGCGCAGTACCAAACTTTTTCACTAGGGCACAACCAGACTCCATTACTGCCCATATAAGGGCGCCTGCATTTCCATTCGTGTTTTGAGTGATATGAACCATTATTTCAACAATTTTCATACAATTTCTGAAGTGGAGATCCTATTCAGAAGTAGCATGGGAAGTTTGGCAGATTTTGATATGAATTGAACCTCTAAGAAACACATACAAAGAACACGCATGTAAGTAATAGCTAGCTGCCACGTCACAAATGGTGAATTTATTATTTTTTTCTTGATATTTCAAATTTTTCAGACCTTTTTTTTCCAAAATAATTAAATGGATTCTATCTTTTGAACTTTTGGCATGAAAACAAACTGAGGTATCTACCATTTTTTTCATGATTTTTCATGTTTACTGCTATTTTAAAATAAAGGTCTGAACACGCCTTATGAGTATGAAAATATTCTTGTTTTATATTGATAAATTATGGCTCCTCTGTAATATATTTTGAAAATCAGTCACCAAATATTTAAAAAATATAGTGGCAAACGTCCCACCTGTGGGACGGTGACAGTTAATTAAACTCATTGAATAACACCAATGCCTGGGAGAAACATATTCAGTTCATCCACACGTAATTCACGTGCCTTCTCACTGTGACGAGTTCTTGCAATGCTTTTTACTATGAGTGATAAAATTTGCCAATTGAGAGAAACTCCTCCCACAGTTTGGGCAGTGGTACGGCTTCTCTCCAGTGTGAACTCGCTCGTGGACTTTCAGCGAGCCAGACTGAGTGAATCCCTTATCGCAGCGTGAGCACTTGTAAGGCTTTTCCCCCGTATGAATCCTCTGGTGCTCCCTCAGTCGTTTAGCCGTGGTAAAAGTCTTGCCGCACTCGAAGCACGCATGATCTCTCTCGCCCCTGTGTCTTTTCTGGTGCTCTTTAAAATTGCCCGGCCATACGAAACTCTTTCCGCACAGAGAGCACACATACGGCCTCTCGTTTGTGTGAACCCTCAGGTGGTTTTTCAGAATGGACGACGAGGTAAAACCTTCCCCACAATGAACGCAGTTAAAAGGCTTAAACCCCGAGTGAGAGTGCAGATGATTATTGAGGCTGTGCGCCCACTTGAACGTCTTTCCGCAGTGATGGCACTTGAACGGTTTCTCTCCGCTGTGCGCCCTGATGTGATCCCGAAGGCCTTTTTTACACCTCAAGGCCTTTCCGCATTGAGGGCAGACGAACAGCTTCTCCCTGGAGTGGATCTTCACGTGAACCTTGAGGTTGTTTTTAAACGTGAAACTCTTTCCACACTGGTGGCACATGTGGGGTTTCTCTCCGGTGTGAGTTCGCATGTGACACTTCAGGCTCTCTTTCCGCGTGAAGCTTTTCTCGCAGTGGTGGCAGCGGAAAGGTTTCTCTCCCGTGTGAAGTCTCACATGGTCCTTAAGGCTGTCTCTTCGTGTGAAACTCTTTCCGCACTGAGGGCACGGGAAGGTTCTTTGAGTTTTGTTCTTTGAACATGTTTCTTCTGCTATTAAAGATTCCCGATATGGACGTTTCTCCTCCACCTCGTTCAGTTCTTCACTTTCTTCTTTTATGTCTGTCAAGTCTACGATTAACACACACAAAAAAAACATAATACATACCAACTCAGTTCAATAAACAAGTGGTAACACTTTACAATAAGGTTCATTATTTAACATTAGCTAATGTATTAACTAACATGAACTAACCGTGAGCAATACATTTGTTGCAGTATTTGTTCATCTTCGTTGATGTTAGTTAATGATAATAAAGCTGTTCATTGTTTGTTCATGTTAGTTCACAGCGCATTAACTAATGTTAACATAATTTTAATAAAGTTTACAAAGATTAATAAATGCTTTATAAGTGCTGTTCATTATTAGTTCATGCTAACTAATGTAGTTAACTAATGAACCTTATTTTAAAGTGTTACCAAACAAATGTATCATGTATGTGGTGTGCTAAAATTACATTGTCATTCTCACTCAACGCCATCTAATCAAGGTTAAAATCATTTTTTGTGTAATTATTTTTTTTCATCATTCATGTTATGTTTTATTTATTAATGTTTGCCTAGTTACTACTTGTTTCGGAATGTTTAAAGAACATTCAAAAGTAACATTCCCATAAAACGGAATTCTAAAACGGAATCTTCCTTTTTTTTTTTTTTTTTTTTTTTTTTTTTTTTATTTCACAATAATTCAGTACATTTTACTTCAACAAAAGCAGTTGTTGGGGCATGAATAATATAGACAGAAGCAGTATAAATTATGCAGTACATCACACATTACAATTGCAACTACTACAATAGCACGCCATAGTTCAATGTAACTTTCCCAACAACTGATTAGGAAAACAAATATATGCTATTGTGAAAATGGATCCCCAAGAAGCAATAGCTTATAAATAGGGGTCCATCCCACCACCAACACCTCCCCACCCACCTAACATTGGTGACCAGAGCGGACCGACTTAGATGCCATTAGCAAATAAACTTTAAATTATGAGTATTTGGAATACAGTTACTTTCAAGAGATAAAAACAGACAGTCATTGTACCTTTGTTCTTCAAATTAAATTTATCCTCATACCAAAGGATAGGGGTTCCCTCAATACCCTCAATTATACCTCTCCAGTAATTGTTGCTTTAATTTCTTTTTGAATATTGCTAAAGAGGCAGATTGTTTTAAATTAGGGTCGAGCTCATTCCATAATTGTGGGCCCCTGTAACATACACTAAACCTAGCCCTTGTTAGGTTCCTGCATTTCCCTTTCAAGAGCAGCTTATGTCTAGTGTTATGTTTGTGTGAAGATGTATATAATGGGATGAGCTCACATAATCCAGTATTTAACCTGTTGACAACATTGTACATTATGCATGCATTATGATAATAGTTACGTTCAGGAAGCTTTAGTAGGCCATATCTATGGAAGAGAGCGTTCGTATGTGAGTTGTATGTAGACCATGTAATAGCTCTAATGGCTTTCTTTTGTAGCATGAGGAGTTTCACAGTATAAGTAGAACATTCTTTGAACATTCTTATAACTAAACAAAAAAAAAAAAAACATTTAAAGGTATCCACAAGTTTCCGAGGGGCGCTCCTGTAAAAAATAAAGTGGGTGAAACTTCCGGTGAGGCGGCGGAAGTAGCATTCCAATGGTGTTTTGTGTGTTAGTTAGCGAAGAGGCTAGCTGTTTTTCGGAGAATTATTTTACTATTTAAAGACGCAAATCTTTATGAGAGATGTCGTTACGGAGCTCAGGGACAACATGTGCTGCTCTCGGTTGTATGTATAACCGGACTAAACTAATTCAGTGGCTTAAACGTGATTGTTTTGAACAGAAGCTGAAAACGAAATCAGAGTGATCCTGCCAGAGCCCGTCTCTGATCCTGCCAACGACTGTAACGTTAGTTTCCATCACCTCCCAAAAGACGACGAATCTTCCTGTGTACATTTGTTTAAATTCTTAATTCTATAAACTCTCTCAGCATGTGATTGGCTGTTCGCTACTGATGTTACAGCTAAACTCGGGATCAAAGCCTGTGTTGACAGAATACCAAATGTGCCAGTAATGTATTCAAAGTAGCACATTCATTTATAATTTTGAATAAACTCCAAAGCACAATGACTAAGTGTGTATTTTTTATTTTAATTGTTTGTCAGCTCGCACAACTGTCTGTCACCATGCCTTGATGAGTATTGATTATTAATAATGTTATTATAATACACTGCGGAGGGTAAAGGCACTGTTATTTCACCCTTTTGAATTTGGTTGAGGTTGTGTTCCCACATCGTTAGCTAGTTTGGATCGTTATAACTTGAATGACTGTCATCTGTTGAATGAACGAGTGTCAAGCACGTCAAATCGCGCTTTGTTTACTTCGAACCGGAAGTCGCGCCCACTTTTGACGCAAGGCCTCATGGGGTGTAGGAAACTTGTGGATAGTTCACCCTAAAATTACAATTCTTTCATCATTTAGGCTTACTCACCATCAAGCTGTTCCAAACCGATATGAGTTTTTTTGTTATGCTGAGCACAAAAAAGAAGATATTTTGAAGAATGTTGAAAACCAAATAGTTGATGGACTTTTTCCCCACACTACGGAAATCTTCAAACGTTTTGTTGCCCATTTTGTTGTCTTTTGTGTTCAGCAGAAGAAAGACACTCAAACAGGTTTGGAACAACTTGAATAATTGTGATAATTTTTGAGTTAACTATCCCTTTAAAGAACTGAAATTTCATAATTTTGCAAAACATTCTTAGTCATATTTTTGTTAGCTGCGTATTTACCAATGATTGCTTAAATACAGCCACCAACTGCTAAATGCTAAAGCTTTGTTACCTTAATGTTCCTCCACCATCAACAATGAAGAATCAAAGAATGGACCCCAACCTGTTTGTTCCTCACTATCTTCTTGTTTTATTCTGGATGGTTCTGGATCACTCTTGTCTTCAATTTCCTCTTCGACAAATTCTGTCTTAACTATAGTATACATAGTACATTTATTTCACTTGTTGCACTCGCTTGTTTGTTCCTCTCTTGTAGGATGACAGTTGATGTATGATCTTGTCTGCCAAAGTCAAAAATAATACAAGTTAATACACGTATTTTAGTTTTATTTCACAGTTATTGTATTCTTGTCTGTCTTTCATTATTTATCTTTGCATTTAAGAGCATACTTTGGCTTAAACCCAAATAATGTATATAAAATGCTTTAATTTTAACACAACATAGTTAAAATCCAATTCTGTAAGTTATAATTTATGCTGATTAAGATTTCAGTGATGACAGCTAACAGTAAGTATAATATATTCATGAATTAATCTCATGACATTAACCCCAAAAGGCTTAATTTAAACGAATATAATTAATCAAGCTGATACTGACTATGTTAAAGTAAGATCACAGATCAATGTTGTAAGAAAACAGGTCAAGAGACATAGATAACTGTTAAATAAATGTGTTTATTTGTTTTACCTTCTGTAGTATTTGTTCTGTCTCTCTCTCGTCTCTTGTCCCGATTTTATGTATTTAATGCCTTTTGCGATTTAAACTCGCATCATGTAACGTTAATTTAATAATGCTAATGCTCTCCACTGTCGTGAACACTTACCCTACCGTAACTATTTGCTATTTATTATTAATAACAATGCGTTTTAATAGTGCATGGAACGTTTGTTCGTATCTCACATAGTTATAAAACATTGTTAAATGATTATAACATGGTTGAAATGTCTAAAAACGTCCTTAAATTTGAATGCACCTTCGAGTTTGAGAGAATTCAGCGACAGCGCCCCCTGGATGGGGAAAGAGCGAGTAGCATCTGTCGCATTCATGACGCATTACGGTAGATGTTTACGACAGTGAGGTAACGTTTGCGACAGCATCATGGCGGCGTTCGGTGTGAGTTTTGAAAGCTCAAACAGCATTAAATCTAGAAAAGAGTCCAAAAGAGAAGAACGAGCACACGTTTTACAGCAGGTAAAACAAACACACTCTTTAAACTAACATCTAATAACGGATTCAATCGGTTTAAGACTTGAATACCGTCAAGAATTAGAAGCGATTTTTGTTTTAACAGATCTGTTTACATTCATCTCTCATTCGTCATTCATACTTTCATTAATTTACCGCTTTTCTGAATTCATGTTTTTTTTGTGTCAGTTATGTTTTGTGATCAGATGTCTTATAGCTGGGTTTCAGAAATGATTCCTCAACATCTGAGGTGGTTTTTGTATCATTTTTTTGTCGATATTTGTCAATATTTTGCTGCATTAATCGTTACAACATTGACTTAGATATGTCGTGAGATTCATTCATACATGATAGATTTAATTTAGTAAGCAAACTTAGTCATGTAAGATTTAACATTAAACCAAGTGTCTTAATTTTTAAGAAACATGGCATTTCATAATAACCAAATAGTATATAACTTATTGTCTTTGGTAATCAAACGTCAATTATGTGTAATACATAATCAAATATACATCGAAGTTATAACTGTAAAGCTTTTATATAGTTTAATCATGCCAAATTAAAGGTTATCACAATTGAAATATAATCACACAGTATTCAAAACTTGTTAAAAAAATGTTTTTATTTTTCATTGACAAAGATGTCAGTATTTTTGTAAAGTAGTCACAATCATCATCATCATCATCTCAAAATAGCATGATAATGGCTGATTAAAGGCTTACACACACTACAAGATAATGATCCACATTTTTGACCCACCATCTTGTAGTGTGTGTGTGATTTAACAGATTTTCTTGTGGTATGATGATGTGTTAAGAGTGATTGAATCTGCTCAGAAGAACGTCAGCGCCTCACCGATCTCTAATCATAAATATCCAATATGTTGCACACATAGTTATGATCAGAGATCAGTTTTGTTGGGGGGGAAACCCGAGGACATTCTTCTTGCACATCATCCGCCATTAGATTTGTTTGTTTTGTCGTCTCTCACATTTTTAATATCTGAAATCAATTGTTTGGTTGTTTTTTTGGTCACTAGTTAGTTCTGAGCTGAACTGGCGTTACACTACCTTCAGGGGGCGATACCAGTCCATAGTCTGATGAACACAGTCATCCACAAGTGTCAATTTGGATGAAAACATAGAGAATTAAACATATTTGCAATTTATGTTTATACAGTATGAGCTATTATGAGAAGGGTTCGAACCAAAATGTTTTCCTCTTTTTTGCAGGGAGTTCTGATGCTCTTTGTTTTTAAGCAGTCAGGCCTTTAAATATGTAAATCGGGTTAGTTAAGCTATTTCTGTAAACTTCTTAACATAAAACATGATGTGCATCTCTTTTAAATTAGTATGAAATTGTCAGTCACCTGTAGATGTTCAGTGCAGGTAAACGTTCTCTGGATAATGTCCGGGTTGATCACGTTCCCCTCCTGATGTCTAATGATGATTAGCAGGAGAATAGAAACAACACTGATATTTGATTTTTTTAAACGTTTATTTAAAGTTGATGCCATGTAATTCAACATCATTTCCTTATTCTCTGATTTCCTCTGGTGTTTTTGTTTTTGTTACATCATATACTAAAAATCATTGGTAACACTTTACATAAGGTCCCATTTGTAAATGAAACATGAACTAACAACGATGAATACGTATGATATAGTATGTATTAATCTTTGTTAAAGTTAGTAAATAAAACTACAACTGTACAACTTTTGATTTGAATAATGTGTTAGTAAATGTTATATATAAACTAATATTAATGAAGATTAATATGCTTTAGAAGTAGTTTTCATTATAAGTTCAATCATGTTAGCAAATGATACCTAATTGTGAAGTGTTATCAAATCATTGTCTGTAATTTCAATTAAAAATGAAGTATAAATATTAAGTGACAAGTTTAAACTTAAAAGACTTCAATAAAAACTAAAATCATTTTATCTAATCTAAAAATAAATCACAGCTAAATTTAAATATAAAAATACCAATAACAAAAATGACTTGAACTATAATAAAATAAAAGTTAAGAAAACGTTTCAAACTCTTAAAGTTTTTGTGGATGCCATAGAATAACCTTTCAGTGATCAGTTCTTAAAATAAACATTTATTTTTTCTTAGTGCGAAGAACATTTAAAAAAGAATAATATTTGGAACCTTTTCATTCTATAAAGAACCTTTAGTGGAATAGAAGAGTTCCATGGATGTTAAAGTTTCTTTATGGAACCATTGATGAAAAAACACATTCTGTGTCTGTGTTATCTAGAGATACACCAGGCATAAATCTACATTTTTTTGTTTTATTTAGTCCGATCTCTGTTCCGGACATGCACACAAACTGCGTCATTTGTGTGGAAGTATTAGGGAAGTCTGTAAACAGGACGTTAACAGAAACCAGGAGAACAGAGAAAATACTGCGCGTGATGACGCTCAAAATATTGTACGAAAAATATAATATTGAATTATGGGTGAAGGGTTTATATGAATGTATCTCAGAAGGGAACTGACTGTCTTTGGTAAAGTTATGATGGCATTTTCTTTTTCTCACAAAACACTACAGGTGAATAGGGTACAATTTTTAAATAGTAGATATCACCATGAACCTTCCTCAGTTGATTGATTACTTACACAAGTGTATAAAAAAATGTAATTTAAGTTTGTATGTTTAATTATGCAAATTATTTATTTACCTCTGTAGTTGGAAAAACCAACCACATGACAATTTAATGTAATGTTAACCCATAAAGCTAAGTGCTTTCTTAAGTTTGATTATTAATCTGCTATGTCATGTTTAAGACATATTTATGACATATTATATGATTTATTGGTTTATGTCAAGGTGTCATTGCAAAGGCATCTCAAACAATGTCATATTTGCATTTAAAATGTCATAATTGAGCAAATGACACTTAATGACAGTTGTCATAAACATGCATACCTCCTTCATATTCAAGAAATATGTCATGTCATGATTATGAAGGTGTCATGTCAGTCTTATGCACACCCCTTCAAATAAAATGTTACCTAAAATGCCCCCTAAAGGTCCTTGCTCACTGATTTAGCTCTGAATTGTCTAAACATCCTTCAAAATGCTTGCTAATTGCGTAAAACGCAGAAAAACGAACACAATCCAAATTTTTTAATGACGGATGAAAGTTTCGGAGGCAGCGTGATTGACAAAACATGAGATCGTGTTTATTTTTTAACGTGCGAAATTTCGGACTCTGTGTGCAAGTACCTAAAATCTTGACATTACACAATCTAATTTAAATAAAAAACAGATGTTTATATAGCATGTTTGGATCGTGATTTAAATACAGTGTTTGCCTCTAATTTAAAATGTCATTTTCTGTGTTTAAGGCCAGTTTGGCCTTTTATAGAACAAATAAACATTTGCTTAACCCCTTAGCTGTCACCACCCTTTTTGAGAATGGGGGTTAAAATGCACTATTCAAACTTAAATGGTTGTAATTTAAGAATGCTTTGGAATATAATATATAAACACTTCAAAAAATGAAAGTATGAAAAAGTTATGGAAGTTTAAATTTACAGTAAATTAAATATACTGTACTACATATTTTTTATTTTATATAAATTGATATAATATATATTTTAGAAAATATTTTTTACTCTAAAATTTCTATAAAATCAAAGCCATACATCTTATCAAGTTATGTTCCAAATTTGAAGTTGATATCACAAAAATTGAAGTTCCCATGAGATTTTGTTTAGGCGTAGTACCAAAAATAGCCACCGGGTGCCATTGAATTCCATTGAATTTAGTTGTATACATTCTGCCTTAACAAATTAATACATTTCTGTCCAAATACCAATTCTGTCACAATATTTGGAACCTTGAGACTCTGACCTTTCTGACAATATCAGTTTTGTCAAGATTAGAAAAGGTTTTGATCATAAATTATGAAATATAATGATGCCCAAAAGGGGAGGAGCCTGATAAAATAAGTACCGTTTCTATGGTAACGCAACCTTCAATTATAAAACAGTTCACACGATGAATTCTGAGTTTATAAGCTTTCAAATGATACCTAATTTATGATAACTACTAAAATATGTGATATAATAAAAAAGGCGATAAAAAATAATATTATATTTTAGAGGATAATGAATATAAATATTATCAATTTTAGAGGATAATATTGTACTATAATTTTTTATTTTTTATTGAAAAATACTAGATTATATGTTTATTATGAACTTTTAGCTTGAAAACAGAAGTTTCAATGATTAAAAGTGGGTTCATCGACTTTTTGTGACAAAGGTCAAAACTCCTGTTATGAAGCAGTTTTTTTGAGGTGCACTCTTGTCATAAATTCATCAATTACTCTTCCTACATAATTTTTTAACACAAAACAGGGGTAGAATATCTATTTAGAAGTCTTAGACCTTTCCAACAATATATAATTTGTCATAATTAGATTAGGATTTAATAGAAATATAGTGAAGTAAAGTTAGGCGTCCCGGTACCGGGACGGTGACAGTTAAGGGGTTAATTAAACAAAGAAAAAAAAGAAAAAAACGTCCATTCGTAAGAGCATCACGCTCCTCCATCTGTGTTGGGTTTCTCTGTGCACACATTACCCCAGGAAACGACCCCGCAAACCTTTATCACCCCAGACAAATACGCAATTAGAATTAAAACGACATGTAATCCTCGTCCGCTTTCCTCTTCTGTTTAGGCGAAAGAGAAGTATGAGAAAGACGAGAGGAGGAAGGCCGAGAGGAAGGCCAGGGGTGAGGACACATGGATGCTTCCCGATGTTGACCTGCGACTGCAGCAGATTGGCCAGG